ATATCAAATGGATATTAAAAGTGCATTTTTAAATGGTTTCATGAATGAACTAGTCTATGTTGATCAACCTTATAGGTTTAAAGACCCTAGATATCCTAATCATATCTATAGGTTGTCCAAGGCGTTATATGGCTTAAGCAAACCCCAAGAGCTTGGTATGAGCGCCTTCGGGATTTCCTCATTGAGAAGGGCTTCACCATTGGGAAGGTCGACACCACATTATTCATCAAGAAGCTTGATGGAGAGATCTTCATTTGTCAAGTATATGTTGATGATATCATATTTGGCTCATCAAATGAAGACTACTTCAAAGAGTTTGGTGAATTGATGTCAAAAGAGTTTGAGATGTCAATGATTGGAGAGCTTACATTCTTTCTTGGTTTTCAAGTCAAGCAAATGAGAGAATGGATTTTCATCTCTCAAGAAAAGTATACCAAGGATCTTCTCAAGAGATTCAATATGGATGAATGTAAGCCAATCAAGACACCAATGCCATCTAATGGACATCTCGACCTAGATGAGAGAGGTAAATCGGTTGATCAAACTCTCTACTATTCTATGATTGGAAGTTTATTATATTTGACCGCATCTAGGCCCGACATCATGTTTAGTGTGTGTATGTGTGCTAGATTTCAATCTAGTCCTAAGGAGGCTCTCATGGTTGCCGTTAAAAGAATCCTTAGGTACCTTAAGCACACACCAAGCATTAGTCTTTGGTATCCTAAAGAAGCTAGATTCCAACTAGTTGGCTATTTCGATTCAGATTATGCCGGTTGTAAAATTGATAGAAAAGGCACATCCGGAGGGTGCCATTTGCTTGGTAGATCACTAGTGTCTTAGACCTCCAAGAAGCAAAATAGTGTGGCTTTGTCCACTGCCGAAGCAGAATATATTGCCGCGGGTGCTCGTTGTGCACAAATTCTTTATATAAAGCAAACTTTGCTAGACTATGGTATAGTTCTAGAAAATATACCTTTTTTGTTTGACAATGAGAGCGCGTTAAAGCTTGCTAATAATCCAGTTCAACACTCTCACACCAAGCACATAGATATCCGCCATCACTATCTTAGAGATCATGTTGCTAAAAATGATAAATCACTAGAAGCTGTAAGGACCGACGATCAATTGGCGGATATCTTCACTAAACCGCTAGATGAGGCTACATTTTGTCAGTTGAGGAATGAGCTCAATGTGCTTAATTTTAGTAACTTCACTAAAAATGAGCTTGTGTTGTCCCTTGCATTGCATTGTAATATAAAACATGTTTAATTTTTGGCAATGCACTTAGGACTTGTCTAACATGGTTAAGATAACCGCCGAAAAGCGTGTGAAGAAGCTTAACCTTGGATCAAACTTGACAAGCAACTAGACTTATTTTCAAGTATTGCATTGCATATGCATGTGTGTTGCTTTGTTGTTTCTTTTTTATTATCTTTTGAGCACCCGTTGTGTTTGTCCACAATTAGGGAGATCATTTGAAGCTCCTATTGGTCATAAAACCCTCTTGTGTGGTCACATGGTGCTCCTCTCCCCTTTTACTGCATATTTTTCTAAAAAGAATTATAGCCTAAGGCAAAATACTTTGAAAATTTTAAGGGTTTGAGAGAGGTCTCTCACATTAGTCCCAATTGGTATTTATTTATGTTTTATTGAAGTTGGGACTTGATTGGGAAAAGGCATCACGAAGAAACTTTGAAGATTTGCTGAAAAATAGTAACCGAACGCTGCACCGGACTCTGCTTCCAGCGTCCGGTCAGTTCACAAGAGGTGAACAGATGCAGCTCAAAAGTGACCGGACATTGAACAGTGTTCCTCCAGTGTCCGGTGTGAAGTTGGACCTGCGTCTCGTCAAACGAAGAAGATGATGTCAGGATCGACCGGACTCTATGCGCGTCCAATCTTCAGGCACCAGACGCGTCCGGTCACGACTTGAGGAGTTTTGGACCTCTCTGTTGTCGACCGGACTTCGGGTGGCAGCGTCCGGTCATTGCCACCGGTGCGTCCGGTCACGAAAGGTCAAGCGAAAAGATTTCTCTTCTCGTTTCATGTCTGTCACGTGGGGGCACTATTTTTCCTACCTCGCCGCACCCGTGCCGCCTTGACCTAGCCACGCCCGCTCCCACGATTGCTTCATGCCGCCACGCCACCGCGTCCGTGCCCGCGCTTGTCTTCACCGTTGCGCTGCCGCATCTGCGCCCACGCTTGATCTCCGCGCCCGCGCTTGCAATAGTCGCGTCGTCGTGCCATCTCACCCGCGCCAGCCACCACGTCCACGCCCGTGCTTGATCTCCACGCCCGCGCTTGCCCTAGTCATGCCGCCGTGCCATCGTGCCTGCCTTAGCCATCGTGCCACAGCGCCTGCCTCAGCCATCGCGCCGCCACGCCCGCACTGCCTTGCCGCCGCCTGCACCTCCATCGCCGTGCCTGCACCTCCACGGCCTCACCAGCGCACACTAAGGAGTCCCTAGCGTAGCTGGCGATGTCCGAGCACCGAGGAGTCCCTAGCGTAGCTGGCGATGTCCAAGCACCGAGGAGTGGGGAGTACTCGACGTCGCTGGCGATGTCCGAGCACCGAAGAGCGAGGAGTCCCCGGCGTCGCTGGCGATGTCCGAGCACCGAGGAGTCCCCGACGTAGCTGGCGATGTCCGAGCACCAAGGAGTGAGGAGTCCCCGGCGTAGCTGGCAACGTCCGTGCGGTGAAGTGTGCCCACTTAGTCCTCGAGCACGAAGAACCCGAGCGTCGAGGAGTAACCGGCGTCGCTGGCGATAAAGCACGACCGGCGAACAGTCCGATCAACTAGTCGGCGACGGAGTCCATGAACCAAGCGGTCCGACTAGTTGATCGGTGGAGAAGTCCGAGCACCAGGTGATCCGATCACCTCGACGATGATTCTGCAATACAAACATGTAGAACGGGTAGTACATGATGTAAAAATATATGAACTCCAGAGAAAAAATAGCGTATGTATCTTAACGATCAGTTGGAGCGAAGATGTGTTTATATTTAATATAAACCGCCCGACCAGTTAGTGTGTAGCTGAGCCTCCAGCCCTAGCTAGCCCATAGTCCATAACGTCGAGCGCGGAGCCCGTACACGTGTAGGAGGAACAGGCGTCACCAAGGAGCCGCTACTGACCACCCATAACGCATAGGGTAGACGCTTGTGCACGTGTAGGGAGGAGCCGAAGACAGTGCCGTCTCTGGAGGCGTCCGAGCATCAACATGATTGTTCGAGGGTTCAGAAAATCGTTTGGAGAGCAAATATGGAGAAAACAGCTCGAAGAAACATTATGGCGATATACGGAGATTGGAGAATATTTAGAAGAATATTAAAGCGTGACTTAGCTTTAGATATAACGTTTGGTCGGCGGCGTATGGCGTTATCTGGTCGGCGACGTGGGCAGCTCGCTTAGCGGCTCGCTTGATGGCTAGAAAGAAGTTGATCTTGTGTTGGAGTATAACGGACGTAGTCGGAGCTTGGCGGTGTCAATCCGTGTATGAAGACGTGCGCGTGGTTGTATGCACACGCATCCGTGACGTATACATGCATATACATGGTACGTTGATTGCTTTCCTTTTGCTGGTCACGACTTGCTTTATTCCAGGTTGCATGGTCCTGTAGATCGGATCTAGGCCTCATGGTAAGGTGCTAAATGCCCTTGTTACGATGATGCCTCCACCGCTTTTGCTTCGCACGTCTCATGCTGTCGTTCCTCGAGGCTGTCGCTAGACTCTGTGAATTGTCGGTGGTGGTTTGCTACGACACGCGGATGCGTGAGAGCGCTAGAATCACAGCTCATCTTCGTGTCTCGTGACGTGCTATGAGTTGCCTTAACAGGCCGTCGAAGCACGCTGCCGCGGGAAGCCGAGTTGCCAAGGATGCCGTTGATCTTGAGATCCCATGTGGCCGCCATGGATCAAGCGCACACCCCTACCTGGCGCGCCAACTGTCGATAAAAGATGCTCGGCAGTCCACCGAGGGGTATCCCACGATGGTAGATTTATCGTAGAGGTGAGCGAGATCAGGAGCGAGATGGTAATACAAGCACCAAGACACAAGATTTAGACAGGTTCGACCGTCAGTATGACGTAATACTTACATCCTGTGTTTTGATGTATTGCATTGAGATGTATCGATCATGTCCACTAGGAGACCCCTGCCTCTCCTTATTTACTCTGGAGGGGGTTGGGTTATAAGGAAAGTAGCTTATTTGGTACTATACAATATCTTGCGGTGCACGCCGAGCAGCGTCGTGCACGTCTTGATCTTGTGGGCTGGGCCACCTCTGATGGTGCGACCCATGTCTTGTCTTGTGGATACCGGGGGTCATACCCCCATACTTTACTTTGAGCATTTACATTTGTGTAATTCATTTCATATCTTTACATTTCTAGAATTGTCATGCTAAAGTAGGATTGGAATCTATGGTGTAAAACTTTTGTGCGGTAAATAATAGAAACATATTCTAGGCACAAGGGATGAAGTGGGCTAAGTGTAAGACTTAATTATTGCAAAAAATTTAGAATTAGTCCAATTCATCTACTCTTGGACATCTTGATCCTTTCACCCTTCTGCCCTTTTTGTATAAAGGGGGCGTTCGGCTGACAAAAAAACACCGCAGCGGCTGAAAGTTATTGTTCACGGCTGAATCTGTGAGAGAGAAACACTGTTCCGGATGAAAAAAGAAGTGGATCAAGCTGGGTTTGAGGTCAGCCGAACAAGGCCAAAAAGATTAATGCGTTCCGACCCTTTCTATCGTTAAGGCTGTAAAGCCCGGGGTGCAGGTGAACAAACTCTGATCACGCCGGTTAGAAAAACTGTCGTAGCCACTGGGACATAGATTTCTTACGGTCTGTTCAGTTTTACTAAGCGTTCATTTCCTCGTGAGGCTGCAGTCGAGCGTCGGCTGCAGCCGAGCGTCGGCTGCAGCCGCCGCGCCGCGCTGCCATCTCCGGCTCCGCACAGCAGCGTGTACTGGGCCAAGGGCGCCGGCGCCGCCCTAGCCGCCAGCGAGGGCCTGGCGCCGCAGCTCACGGCCGCGGGCGCGCTCGCGGCGCTGGAGTCGCCCGTGTGGTTGGACAGCAGCGGCCATGGTCGGGTCCCTGCGCCTGGCGAGGCTCACGGGGTGCCGCGCGCACCAGCGCAGCACGGGGCCGCAGATACGGAAGATGCACCAGACCCGGCCGCAGGTGTACGAGGCTACCGAGAGGGTCTCGCAGGTGAGCTCGTTCATGGCGTCGCTGCTCGTCCGCGGGTACGCCTGCATCAACGAGACCGATGAAGCCGGGATGAACATCGTGGATATCGACACGCGCCAGCTGCGCCAGGACGCTCTTCAGGTTCCCTTGGTGTTTGCCTCTACATACAGATGTTCATGATTCACTGATTCAGAGTTTCACACTTCAGACTAGCGTTCAGCACTGCAGATTGCAACTGTAAATAAAATGACTAAAAAGATGGAAGTGGCACATACTAGAATTTAGACCAATCAGCTCAAAGAAGAATTAAGCTCGTCCGCCGCGTCGTGGACCTTGGGCGTGCCGTTGCCGCAGTTGGTGAAAAACTCTGCAGAATCCGCGTCCTCACAACAGTGCAACCCACGTTCATACTCAAATAATCGTACCATTATTATTTTTCTGTGCAACACACAGACATTTATCTAGTATATACTATAAACATAATAGAGTAACAAAGTGCTTCCTCCGTTCTAAAAAATATATAAATATTGTTTTTCAATCAGTCAACAATCTCAAAGTTAATTAAATTTATTGAAAATAATATTAATATTTATATCTCTAAATAAATTTATTATAAATATCTTTCATGATTAATCTAGTAAAATATAGTACACATTAGAATTAGGAATACCGTACAACTAAAGATGTTGTCTCTATGTATTGGTTTTAAGCCCTATTATTCTATCAAAGAGGCCCAAGCCCAAAGGTAGTAAGCTCATCTCTTGTAATAGATCAACTTGCACTCGTTAAGACAAGTCGATGTGACTGATCCGATTAAACAACGCAGAAACAACCCACAATAAAGATCAAGACAAATGTTTTACATAACTTGCTGCACGAATCCACAAAACGTCTGAATCTGAAGCCATCCAAGCAAATTGATAGAAACACTTATTCAACATGAGTGTACATCTGCAATCTCTCGGCTACTATCAAGTCTCCACTCATGGACAACGTCTCCACTTGTAGCATCCTTGCAAGTAGTCCACAGCCCACCGTCTAGTGGTGGCATAAGCTTACAAGCATGTTTCCTGTCTTTTCGGTCGAAACTAATAGTTACCTTCTGAATTCCTGTTGCCTTTGTCAGTATGGATTGAATGAACTGGAATTCACAATCAGTTCCCATCAACTTCTTGAACTCTACTTCCTGAAGATGAGCTAATAAGAACTCACGGGATTTCCAATGGCACGAATTATTATCACATAAGAAATCCAATTCTGATCGGTTCTCCTGCAGTAAAGACCGGGGAAGGATATATGCATTATTATTCCACGAATGAACAAAAGGGGATTAAAATTTAAGAAACAAAACTCTAACCAATTAGTTTATATGGACTAATGGAAGAACATTTTTCTCACCTTAGTAATGATGTAGCGTAACTGTAGGCTGAGATATTTAATATTGCTGCATTGTGCAAGGAGACATGCTACGCCAGGTCCAGTGGAATGTCGCTCCCATAGTTCAATATAAACTGCTAAGTGTGTCACATGAGGAAGCAGCAGAATCCTACCTTTTATTATGTCAACAGTGTTATACTTTGCCTGATCGAATTAAGAAAAAGGATAAGACAAACACATAAATGAGAAACAACAATAACACAACAACAACAAAACCTTTAAGTCCCAAATAAGTTGAGGTAGGCTAGAGTTGAAACCCAACAAAAGCAGTCAAGGTTCAGGCACGTGAATAGCTGTCTTCCAAACACTCCTATCTAAGGCTAAGTCTTTGGTTATATTCCATCCTTCCAAATCTCCTTTTATTGCCTCTACCCAAGTCAGCTTCGGTCTTCATCTGCCTCTCTTCACGTTACTATCATGGCTTAGGATTCCACTACGCACCGGTGCATCTAGAGGTCTCCGTTTGACATGTCCAAACCATCTCAACCGGTGTTGGACAAGTTTTTCTTCAATTGGTGCTACCCCTAATCTATCATGTATATCATCGTTCCGAACTCGATCCCTTCTTGTATGACCGTAAATCCAACGCAACATACGCATTTCCACGACACTTATCTGTTGAACATGTCGTCTTTTCGTAGGCCAACATTCTGCACCATACAACATAGCAGGTCTAATCGCCGTCCTATAAAACTTGCCTTTTAGCTTCTGAGTACCTTTTTGTCACATAGGACATCAGATGCTTGCCGCCACTTCATCCACCCTACTTTGATTCTATGGCTAACATCTTCATCAATATCTCTGTCTCTCTGTAGCATTGATTCTAAATATCGAAATGTATTCTTCCTAGACACTACTTGACCTTCCAAACTAATATCTTTCTCCTCTCGAGTAGTAGTGTCGAAGTCACATCTCATATACTCAGTTTTAGTTCTACTGAGTCTAAAACCTTTGGACTCCAAAGTCTCCCTCCATAACTCTAGTTCTGATTTACTCATGTTCAGCTTTCATTAACTAGCACTACATCGTCTGCGAAAAACATACACCAAGGGATGTCCCCTTGTATGTCCCTTGTGATCTCATCCATCACTAAGGCAAACAAATAAGGGCTCAAAGCTGACCCTTGATGTAGTCCTATCCTAATCGGAAAGTCATCCGTGTATTCATCAATTGTTCGAACTCTAGTCACAACATTGTTGTACATGTCCTTAATGAGCCCGACGTACTTCGTTGGGACTTTATGTTTGTCCAAAACCCACCACATAATATTCCTTAGTATTTTATCATAAGCATTCTCCAAGTCAATAAAAACTATGTGTAGGTCCTTCTTCTTCTCCCTATACCGCTCCATAACTTGTCTTATTAATAAAATGGCTTCCATGGTTGACCTTCCGGGCATGAAATCAAATTAGTTCATAAAAACCCACGTTATTGCTCTCAAGCGATGCTCGATAACTCTCTCACATAGCTTCATAGTATGGCTCATCAACTTAATTCCCCGATAATTAGTACAACTTTGAATATCCCCTTTATTTTTGTAGATCGGTACAAATATATTTCTCCTCCACTCATCAGTCATCTTGTTCGATCGAAAAATATGGTTGAACAGTTTGGTTAACCATACTATAGCTATATCCCCGAGGCATCTCCACACCTCGATTAGGATACCATCCGGTCCCATCGCCTTACCTCCTTTCATCCTTTTCAACACCTCTCTGATCTCAGATTCTTGGATTCTCCGCACATAGCGCCTATTGGTGTTATCAAAAGAGTCATCGAACTAAAAGGTTGCGTCCATATTCTCACCATTGAACAATTTTTCAAAATACTCTTGCCATCGATGTCGGATCTCATCCTCCTTCACCAAGATATGCTCCCTTTTATCCTTAATGCACTTAACTTGGTTGAAGTCCCTTGTCTTTCTCTCACGAACCCTAACCATCCTATAAATGTCCTTCTCTCCTTCCTTCGTACTCAAATGTTGGTAAAGATCCTCGTACGCTCTACCCTTTGCTACACTTACAGCTCGCTTTGTAGTCTTTTTTGCCGCCTTGTACTTCTCTATGTTTGTTCACACTCCTATCATGGTACAAGCGTCTATAGCATTCTTTCTTCTCCTTAATAGCCCTTTGAACTTCCTCGTTCCACCACCAAGTATCTTTAGCCTCGCCTCTACTTTCTTTGGTTACTCCACACACCTCTGAGGCCACCTTTCAAATGTTGGTTGCCATCTTCTCCCACATGTTGTTTATGTTCTCTTCTTCCTTCCAAGAGCTCTCTTTGATAACCTTTTCCCTGAATACCTCTGACGTCTCTTCTTTCAGTTTCTACCACTTTGTTTTTTCAATCTTAGCTTGTTTATCTCTACGGGCACGCACCTAAAAACGAAAGTCTGCCACCAAAAGCTTATGTTGAGAAACAACACACTCCCCTGGTATCACCTTGCAACCCAAGCATGCTCGTTTGTCCTTTCTTCTTGCGAGGACTAGATGAGATTCTCTTTCAGTGTTGTCCGCTACTGAAGGTCACTAGATGAGATTCTCTCTTTCTAAAGAAAATATTGGCTATCATCAGGTCAAAAGCTACCGCGAAGTCTAGAACTTCCTCCCCCTCCTGATTCCTACTACCATACCCAAAACCTCCATGAACTGCCTCGAAACATACGCTTGCAGTACCTACATGCCCATTAAGATCTCCTTCTATAAAAAGTTTCTCACTACTAGGTACAGCTCTAATCAGGACATCTAAGTCTTTCCAGAACTATCTCTTAGCACTCTCGTCGAGGCCTACTTAGGGGGGTATACGCACTAATTACGTTCAAGACCATATCACCAACGACAAGCTTGACTAAGATAATCATATCTCCTTGCCTTCTCACTTCTACCACACCATTCTTGAGGCTCTTATCAATCAAAACTCCTACTCCATTTCTATTCGTGATTGTCCTTGTGTACCAAAGCTTGAAACCTATATTGTCCACATCCTTCGCCTTCTGACCCTTCCATTTAGTCTCTTGAACGCATAATATATTTACACGCCTCCTAGTCGCGGTATCAACTAATTCTCTTAACTTACTTGTAAGCGATCCTACATTCCAACTACCTAAACGGATCCTAGTTGGTTCGACTAGCTTCCTTACCCTTTGCACCCGTCAACTCAGATATGAAGACCCTTACTCATTTTTCACTACACCTGGCGCCGATGTAGCGCGCCAATAAGGAAGCAACGACCCGATCTTTGCTTACTTGACACCATGCCTAGATCACGACACGGCGCGTCACCAAGAGGGTGCCGACCCGGCCCTTGCCCATTTAACACCATACCCGGGTTCCGATATGGCGCGTCGCTAAGAGGGTTACGACCCAACGATTTTCTTTCGGTTTCATCTCCATTAGAATGGCTAGATTTAACGTTGGCTCACCACGTCTATCACAACCCTTCTCCTTTATCAGGGTTTGGAACCTGCTATGTTGAGACAACATAGGCGGAGTTAAACACATAAATGAGAAACCGGAAAAGAAAACTTCTTGACAGAAAATAAATATCAGATTATGTGGATGTTCATTTTATTCTTTTAACAATTTTGAGCCAAATTAAATCCATAGAACAAATTCAAGTGCATGAATTGAACAAATAAATTAACACACTAGCATTTTGATGGGTTGTGCCCCTGAATGCATACCACGTACCTCTGAAACTTTAAAAGACACTTCAAGGCATCTAGTTGATCTACAGCATTGCAGGAGATGAATGCTACCATCATTTACGTCCTCATTGTAGCCGGTCTCGGTCCCTCCACGTGAGAACAATTGAATCTTGAGGGTTTCCACGCTTGACAAGTGACAATGGACGTCAATACGACGAAAAGGTCGTTTTGCCGAGCACATGGCAATGAGATTCTCCAACCTTGGAGCCGAGACCATGAACAAATCGAGATCGAAGCAGTTCTCAACACAGAGAGCTCGGAGGCTAGGAGTTCTGAGTTCCAAGAATTGCAGCTTAAAGATTGCCTTTAGCGATAGCTCCAACAGTGTGTCGGACTCAATAAGCAGCAGCTCCTCCGTCGTCCAGAGCACACGCTGAAGCCAAAACTTGTGCAGGCGTGGGCAGCATGCGGACGACAGGATGCGAGAAAGGAGGTGGCCACCACCGGCTGGCACAACTATGTCTACAAGTGAAAGATCTGTAAGGGACGAGAAGACCACTGTGGAAGAAGGGAGCCAAAGTTCCGCCCCAGCCAATTTCAAATGCATAATCTCCGTGTCTGCATAGCTATCCCTTTCATCAAGGGTCATCACAGGACGCTCAACGAAGGGCCGCCATGGGAGCGTCAGTTTGAAGATTAAAGATTTCACCGCGTGCTGCACAGCGTAACGGATCCATCCCTGTGCGGCCTCCACGGACAGGGGCACCAACTGTTCTGAAAGTTTATCTATGTCGAACGAGATGGCCAGGTCCTCAACGAAAGCGGGCTCCTTTGCGGCGGTAGCACGAAGCGCGAGAGCGCCGTTGACGAAGGCAATGTACCTCTCGGCGGCAGCGTCTGACCTGCACAACTTTCGGCGGCTGTCGAAGTCGAAGCGCAGGGCGGCGACCCCCGTCCAGAGGCCACGCCACCGCCGCGAGAGCGCGTGGGTGCGCACGACGTTCTCGGCCTCCGGTACCAGATCCAGGATGCGCAGGATCAAGTCATCGTTGAGGCTGCTAATCAAGTCCACGTCGCCGCCGCCGCCGCCGTTGCCGTCGCCGTCGCCGACGGATACAGTCGCCGCCCTTGGTCGTTTCGGATTCGACCCGCGGCTTCGCACGCCCATCGTGCAGGACTAGCCCGTGTGACCGGCTGACGGTAGGGATTCGGGGCGACGCCGCCGCCGCCGCCGCCGGCAGTTTGTGAACGGGAGAAGGGGAGGGGCGGAGGAAATGGGGAGAAAGGATGGTTTTGGGGGAGGGGAGGGAGCGACGACGACGTGAACCGCCGACCGCGTCTAATCTGTTTGATGGACTGCCCCGGGTGAGGGTGATCCGACAGCCTAGCAGGCCGGCCAGGCCCAGGCCCAGGCGGGGGAGCGCGCGGGGCGAAGATGGCTGAATTCGGCCCAACTCGGGAGGTTGCAGCCTTTTCCCGATTTGCAGGTTGGACCGAGCGCACATGCTGTAGCTTCGCCCAGAACATGTGGCTCCATCGTGTGAGTGTGATCGTGTCCCTCCCAACTCCCACTGACCTCCTCTCGACGGACTTGTTCGTTCCTGTACGTCTTCCTGCACTGCACATGTACAGGTTGCCGCCGGGGAAGAGGTAGGTTCCGATCCATGCCATTCCAGGCTCTGTCCGGGTTTATTCAAGCAAACCCAAAGATAGCATAATCTTAACGCACGACTAAACCGCTGCAAGGTCAGGATGCTAATAAGCGCTAGCTCTTATTAAATGAGGATGATGAGGAGACAAGTACGCCACCGTGCACTGAACCCGCAGTTCGTGAGCATTTCAGTTATGTATTCCTAGGAAGCCTTTGAGATGTGTCCATCGTAGACATATAGTGCAGGCGATTTGGTTGTGTTCATTGTACGCCGGTGACAGATTGCGCACATACATACACCAAGTTGTCACGGATGCAGCGGTATTTGATGAAGGTGCTCTCGCAATTGGAGAATAATAAGAAGTTGATGATTTTGGCAGCTTGGCCTGCGTATGGCGAGAACTTGGTAAATTTAATAATTTGGCAAATGAGTGTACGTACAGTATTGATATATAATTAAGCTGATTATTGGCCGAGAATCCCTTGTTTGTTCGGCAAATTGTGTACGTACGTTGGAGTTCAATTACAAGGTTTTTTTTTTTTTTGAAACTGTCAATTACAAGGTTGGAGTCAAATGCAATCAGCTTATTCATTCAACAAACGGGTATGGCAGCGATGGGCCGTAACTGCCAGCTCCGGCGTATGGCACCCGGCCCGCCCACCTGCAATACTCAAGATTTTCCTAATAATCAGTTAATTGATCCTCAAAGAGATTGTCAACCAACCAGCACATTGATCCTCAGAGCTTGCCAACCAACCAGACACGCCTGTTGAAATTCAGCGGCCATACGGGTGTAGTTACGGCCATACGGGACACGCGAAAGTTTGCCGCCTGTTTTAGCTACTGCCTCAAGTAAGTACTGTTACTCTGTGGAGGGAGCACTTTTGTTACTCTATGGACAATTGCCTCTAGTAAGTATTGTTACTCTGTGGAGGGAGCACTTTTGTTACTCAATGGACAATGATGTGACTGATCCAAGTAAACAGTGCAAAAACAACCCATAATAAAGATCAAAACAATGCACGAATCTACAAAGCGTCTGAAGCCATCCATTGATATGGAAACACTTATTCAACATGTCTGTACAACTGCAATCTCTCTACTACTCTCTAGTCTCCACTCATAGACAACGTCTCCACTTGTAGGATAACTTAGCCCACTTGCAAGTAGTCCACAGCCCACCGTCTAGTGGTGGCATAAGTTTAAAAACATGCTTCCTGCCTTTTCGCCAGTAGAATCGGTCGAAACTAATAGTTACCTTCCGAATTCCCGTTGCCTTTGTCAGTATGAATTGAATGAATTGGAATTCACAATCAGTTCCCATCAATTCCTTGAACTCTACTTTCTCGAGATGATCTAGAGAAAACTCATGGGATCTCCAATGGCATGAGTTATTATCACATAAGAGATCCAATTCTGATTGGTTCTTCTGCAAGTAAAGACCGTGGAAGGATATATGCATTATTATTCCACGAATGAATAGAAGGGGGTTAAAATTTAAGAAACAAAACTCTAACCAATTAGTATATATGGACTAATGGAAGATCATTTTTCTCACCTTTTTAATGATGTAGCATACCTGTAGCCTGAGATATTTAATATTGCTGCATTGTGCAAGGAGACATGCTACGCCAGGTCCAGCGGAATGTCGCTCCCATAGTTTAATATCAACTGCTAAGTGTGTCACATGAGGAAGTAGCGGAATCCTGCCTTTGATTATGTCAACGGTTTGATACTTTGTCTGATCGAAAAGGATAAAGCAAACACATAAATGAGAAACTGGAAAAAAAAAACATTATCGACAGAAAAAAAAATCAGACTTTGTGGATATTTATTTTATTCTTTTAACATTTTTTAGGCAAATTGAATCCATAGAACAAATTCAAGTGCATGAATTGAACAAATAAATAGAGACACTAGCATTTTCTTGGGTTGTCTCTCTGAATGCATACAACATACCTTTGGAATTTCAAAAGACACTTCAAGGCATCTAGTTAACCTACAGCATTGCAGGACATGAATGCCAGCATCGTTTCTATCCTCAGCGTCGGTTTCTCCATGTGAGAACATTTGAATCTTGAGAGTTCCCACACTTGACAATTGGCCATGAACGTCATCAATATGCAAAGGTTGTTGTACACAGAACCTAAGATTCTCCAACCTTGGAGCTGAGACTGTGAACCCATTGAGATCGAAGGAGTCCTCAATATGTAGAACTTGGAGACTAGGCGTCCTGAGTTCCAAGAATTGCAGCTTAAACATTGACTCTAGGGACAGCTCCAAAAGTGTGTCAGCCTCAATACGCAACACTTCTATCGTAGAGAGGTCAAAACTCAATTGCCGAAGCCGAAGCTTGTGCAGGCGTGGACAGCATGCCGACGACACGAGGCGAGAAAGGAGGTAGCCACCACCTGCTGGGACCTCTATGTCTTCGAGTGAAAGATCTATAAGGGACGGGAAGACCACTGTGGAACAAGGCAGTCGAAGTTCTGCCCCACCCAATCTCAAATGCATGGTCTCCATCTTTGCAAAGTTATTATCCATCTCATCAAGGGTCATCACAGGATGCTCGATGTCGTTGTCATCGCGATCCAGGTCGAACCGCCACTGCCATGGCAGCATCAGTTTCAAGATGAAAGATTTCACCGCGTGCTGCACAGCGTAACGGATCCATCCCTGTGCAGCTTCCACGGATAGGGGCACTAGCTGTCCTGTTTCTTGTTCAGATATGTCGAACGAGATGGCCAGGTCCTCAACGAAAGCGGGCTCCTTCGCGGCGGTAGCACGAAGCGCGAGAGCGCCATTGACGAAGGCAATGTACCGTTCCGCGGCAGCGTCTGACCTGCAAAACGAAAGCGGGCTCCTTAGCGGTAGCACGAAGCGCGAGAGCGCCATTGACGAACGCAATGTACCGTTCGGCGGCAGCGTCTGACCTGCAAATCTTTCGCCAGCTGCTGAAGTCGAAGCGCAGGGCGGCGACCCCCGTCCAGAGGCCACGCCACCGCCGCGAGAGCGCGTGGGTGCGCACGACGTTCTCGGCGTCCGGTACCAGATACAGGATGCGCAGTAGCAAGTCGTCGTTGAGGCCGCTGATCAAGTCCACGCCGCCAACGCCGCCGCTGTCGCCGATGGATACAGTGGCTGCCCTTCGTCGTTTCGAATTCGACCTGCGGCTTCGCACGCCCATCGTGCAGGACTGGCCCGTGCGACCGGCTGACGGCAGGGGCGCGCGGGGGCGACGCCACCGCCCACTCGCGCCAGTTTCTGCCGCCGCCCAATCGCGCCAGGGGAGGGGAGAAAATTGGAGATAGGGTTTTGGGAGGGGGCTTCGATTGGATGAGGGAGCGACGACGACGTGAGCCGCGTCCGATCTGTGTCACGGCCTCACGGGCGAGGGTGATCCGACAGCCTAGCAGGCCGGCTAGGCCCAGGCCCAGGCGGGGGAGCGCGCGGGGCGAAGGTGGTCTAGGCTGAATTCGGCTCAACTCGGGAGGTTGCAGCCTTTCCCGATCCGCAGGTTGGACCGAGCGTGCCTGCTGATGGTGTAGGCCCAGAGCATGCTCGCGGCTCCATCGTGTCTGCCCGTGATTTGCCCCTTCCCCGTGATCCGCCACCCGCAATACTACAAGTTGGCCGTGATTTGCCTTCCTAATAAACCGTGCCCGTGTGTTACCACAGGATAGTTAATATTTTATACTAAAAATATACGGATCGTACGATAAAATAATAATACTGTAAAAATTAAATACCAATGTTAAAGTGATATTTAATCAAAAACAAAAGTTTATGAATTTAACATAGTCACGGAGTGCGCGGCGTCGCAGGCTCACGGACTCTACTTTATGGACATTTCCGTGATACGGTTAAAATAATGTTTTATATTAACAGGAAAAATCTCCGATATCCATTTTTTCATGCTCACAAACTAATGACCCTGGCGCAACAATAGGAAATACAAAGGAGCTATCCTCCTGAATGAGCGGAACCAACGCCACTACGATCGTGCCAGCCCACGACCACTGGTATGGTATTGTTTAGCACTATTGTTCATTATTATGGCTAACTTGTTTCGTTGGTTTTATTCAAGTAAATTATGTTTATAATTATGCAGGTGCTAATTCGATTGATCCCACATCGGCACATGAGAAAAGTGGGGAAAGTCGACAAAACTCATGGTTTTGAGAACATACACGTGTAATAGTTATGAATGGTTACAAAACGAAATATTATGAACAAAACACTCAAAATGTCATTTTCATAATAATAATATAACACATGTTCAATTTTCATTATGCCATCACACAAGTGTATATACAACATCTCCGTGTAGAGTCTAATAAACCATTTAAAAATACCTAGGAACAACAACAAATATGGCATTAGTGAGATATTATTTGTACAATATAAATTAAATGAAAAAAATGCATTGTATGCGTTAGTAATGTTACGTTACCTCGCTTATGGCGTTAGAACCTTCTTAAATACAATATTCTTCGTGAAAGTTCCATCCGCTATTGGGGTCTTCTTATCCTTATCTTTTTTATTTGACGCATTCTTTTTTTCGCTCGACATTCTTTTTAGCATTTTTCGTCTCTATCTTTTTGGCCTCCTTCTCTTGTGCCTCCGCATCAGGCGAGAGGGCAAGGATCTTAATATTGGTTCTTGACGTGGCTCTAGACATCGCAACGTACAACTGATCGTGAGAGAACACTGGTGCGGGTAGGTACATACCCAGGTGAGAGAACATGGCAAAGCTCAGCCTGATAGGAAACTGCTTCCTCTTAAACTAGAACAGAAACATTTCGTCATCAGACGGGCATAGCGGTATTCGAGGAAGAAATACCCGCTTCCTAGCATGCTGCCCTACCACGATTTCAGCGTCGATTGTATTTCTTCAGAACCCCCGCACCACCACCCTTGTACCGTTGCATAGCCCATTGGTAGGGTCAATATTCCTAAGCAATATGATAGGACACCCGAGCTTAAGCTTCAAGACGTGTGGAGACAGCCCGTTGGAGGTCAAACTGTTAAGAAACTCCGATGGATAGTAGTTATGTGGATCATCTACCGTGGAGTCAAAATTGTGATACACCGCCTCGCCGCTCTAAAACATATAAATCATTTTCATATTGATCATGTCCACCCAATCGTTACGTGTAGATAAAATCGCTCTAGTAGTGATGTAGTCTTCGTCCGCCATGTTTGCATTTAGATCTAGAAAAGATTATGTCGATCAATGTATGAAGATCTTTCTCGGCATCTCCAGAGTACATGACACATATCTCGTCTGGAATACGTACATTGCCATCTTCGTTAACCTCTTCCGTTCCACCACCAATGCGCAATAGATAATCTACAAACAACGGGTCACTCTGAGCCCTCATGTTGCAGACGAGCTTTAGGTGGCGCATGGATTCCCAAAGATACGACCTTCGTAGAAAAGCACCAACTATTTGAGCTCTAGATCCTTTCCGCACAACAGGGAGGACCTGTCTAAAATCCCCACCAAGGACAACAGTCTTTCCACCAAACGGTAGGTTTGACCGGCCCATTATATCCCGTAGGCTGTTGTCTAGTGCTTCCATATTTTGCCTCTTTGTCATAGATGCCTCGTCCCAAATTATGAGAGCTGCTTGATGCAGCAACTTGGCAGTACCACTCTGTTTCGTGAAGCTACAACAACCGCCCTCTTGAAGAGTGAGGGGTATCTTGAAACGCGAACGGGCCGTCCTCCCACCTGGCATTATGGCCGCTGCGACTCCAGATGTAGCTGTAGCCACGACAAGCTTGTCCTGACTGCGTAGTTTTGCGAGAAGTGCCCTATACAAAAATGTCTTTCCCGTCTCGCCAGGTCCATCCACAAAGAACAACCTACCTTGTTTGCTGCAGACAGCGGCCATTATCTCATCATAGGCAGACTTTTGTTCGGCGTTGAGTGAGTCGCACAATAGCACATCTTCGGGATCCTGCTCGACGCTAGCTTCCTCAAATATCTCACGAGGAATATGGCTGGCATCGTCGTATGAGTGATCAATATCTAGAAGAGGAAATGACCTTATGTCATTCCCCATAGACTACAGCATGTTTCTAATGTCTATCAAAACCATTTGTTGCACTAGATCCGGGGATGGATGATTGCGGCTTTAGTCCTCTAACATTGCATCGTAGTGTTTTTTCCACAACCCCATCACATCATGCAGCTCACAGAATACCAATATTGTTGTAAATAGCCTCCGCATAGAGAAAGGCATCTAGAATAAAGTAGCTTCAGTTAGACATTCATCCAGTGTATTGTTTTCTTCGATTAGACCCCTCCTTTCTACAGCTTCACGGAATGAAGGTAGTAGCACGCCATCACCCGTCCTCAGATGTTCGTATGAGGTAGCACCAGCAACATTGTTCAAGAGAACACGAAGAAAGTAACGTTCTCCCTCAGCAGGATGAGCCGAGATGACTCTTCCAACTTGAAAACTGAGTTTTTCCTTTTCTGCCAGAATTTATTATCAGACTGCTAAGTAAAATGCTCTGGAAAGTCCTAATACAAGATTCCGCGGGCTTCCTCGTGATGCATGTTTGCATCGAAGTATGCTGTCAGCATTGACTCTTCTACACCTGGCCTATTAACGATCCGTTCGACCTTATCCCGTTTATGAAATGCCACCATGTGCATGTTGGGTAGATGAAGCTGCAGCTGTTGTACTGGTGGATGGTTCTTGCTCAAGTCAAAGCCATATATCCTCCATAGTGCTTCTAGAGGCGTCACCCACCGGGCATCTCTATATTGCTTGATCTCATCAATGTTCCCTTTCTCGTCTGCTTTGTCGGTCTCCCTCATCACCACTGATGCCCTGTCATGTCCCTTGTATATGTATTTGAATAGATACTTTACTGATTTAATGCTCCCACATGCCTCAACATTGATATGGCAATTAAAGGTACATAGCAGGCAAGGGTTGTAAGGCACGACCCATTGATTGTCCAGGTAATGGCCTCGAACTTTTAGTGTGCGGCCATCATTGTGTCGTCGATAGATGGGGTACGAATCCTTTCCCTGTGACGTTGCCTCACAGAATGGGCGCGGGTACCGGTTCTTGCATGACCCGCGGCCCACCGTGCATGGACGGTATGGATTTAGCGTCCCGCAGGAACCATGCATCATATGCTTCGTCACCATCTTGTAGAGCTCAGGGTACTTCTTCTTGTTTGGTAGCTCTACACTGATAATCATGTCATATTGCTCGGGACATGTGAGCTTGTACTTATGTTCCATTATCAGCAAGAAGTGTGCATGCGGTAAGCCCCTCTTCTGGAACTCTACTACATATACGTAGGCATTCACCTTCCCAAGTTTGTCTTTCTCCATCAACATTTTCCTCATCGCCTCTAACTTTGCTCTGAAGACCCGTATGACAAGATCTGGACGGTTCTGTGGTGTCTGGCCTGGATAAAGTTTATTCTTGATCTCATCCTAGTTAAGGTTGCACGTCATTGTGAGGAAGATATCAGGTTTACCATACTTTCGCACCAGAGCCATTGCATCCATGTATCGGCGCCTCATATCACGGGGTCCTCTGATGAATGACGAAGACAGGACAGTACGCCTTTCGACATTCTCAGTAGATCCTTCACCCGAATGCATGCTGTCCACCAGGCCTTGGTATAGGTCAGCCCTCAAAGTATCCTGATTGTTCCTCATGTAGTCTAAACGCGAGCTCTCAATCTTGATGTAGGTGTCGATGGTGAACTGCTGGAAAAGACGCCGGCCATAGAGTATTGGATTAAATATCCCTGGCCGCATCTGGAACTTGTAGCAGTAGTAGTCGCGCACTGAGACACATGTATTCGAAACAGGTTCTACAGGGAGACATTGTTCGAATTAGTATCATGCATTAACAGAAAAGAGTTTATATTGCATTATTGAAAAGAGTTCAAGTTACCTCCATCATTATCGTCACCATTCTCAGCACGCTTTTTGCGGATTGCTCGAGCTCGATCAACTTGAGCCATAGTCACACCCACTTTTGCAATGCAGTTGTGCCATCCGAGCTCACACATTGAAAAGAACAATGGGTATGACAGTGGATCGTAGCATGCATTATATGAGCGGATGCCGTGTATAGACCGATCCTTCCCTTGTAGAAGAACACTATGCTTGAATTGGTCGTGACGCTCACTCCCCTTAACCTAGACAGCGACCACCTTTGATGTTAATTGATTGATCCTCCGAGGGAAGTCGTCTTCCAACCAGCACGATGGCTCTGGTGCGCGTGCTTTTGCTTTTCCTTTTCCTTTAAATTATCCTTCCGTTTAAGAGTAGTCAACGCCTGATTAATCAAGCTAGCGCCTTATTATCAGTTTATCAGCCAGTCTCAAAACAAAAAGTTTATCAACCAGGAATAAATAAAATTCTTGGGGCGCAGTCTACCCTTTCAGCGGCCGCGTGCAAGTAGACAATTCTTCACGACACACAGGCTAATGTCTTTCATCCAGCAACTAAAGTTTAGTATATGTTATATTGGGTATTTGATATTAATTAGAAAGATTAAACATAAGTCTAATTAAACTTAATAGATTCGTCTCGTAAATTAGTCTCAATCTATATAATTAATTTTATAATTAATTTATATTTAATACTCTAAATTAGTGTCAAATATAACGTGACTAATTTTTAGCAGGACCAAACGCCCCGGCAAGCGGCATGCCACGCCCCGGACCCCGGCTGATGGAGAGGTGAGGGTCCACGCATCGACGTCACGCTCACGGCTCCGTGTCCGTAGCCCTTACATGTACATATATACGGGTGCACATACGTACACGTGTAAGTTTCGAGAATACACATGATTGTTTCACTTTTGATAAGTCAATTAATCTTAGGTGCTACTAAATTTATAGAAAAATAATATTGGTATTTATATTTTTAAATAGGTTTATTATTAAAAAAATAACCTATAATTGTTTGATAATATTACTAAACATTATAAATATCAATGTACTTTTATATACATTTCGAAACTTATGAGCTCCAGATTGGTTAACTACTATTTGTAAAACAATTTGTTTATATTTTTGGATTTGGATGTAGGGAGACTGGTCAGCCGTCTCAGTTGGTGGCTTCCTGTTGTTGCGTCCTCTGAATGCGGACAGCAGTGGCGCCACTTGCTGTGTACTATGGCATGGAGACATGGAGTAGAAAATTCGTCCCAGCGTGGAAGCCGTTCGCGAATACTTGCCCAGAATAAATTTGCCTTTGTCAACGTCAACCAAGGAGCACGAGGGCCGGGTAGTACGTGTTTTTCTAATTCTCTTAATCATTCGGACATTCGACGCCAGTGACTTCTCACTGTACGAGTGGCGTGATGTATACCATAACTTTACCTTAATGTCGTACGCGACGCTCGCTTAAATAAATAAATAAATAACAAAATCAACTCCTGGCCACCTTGCCTCGCTCCGTACGTGCCGCCTGCCCAACGAGCTCCTCTCTTTCGTGCTTCTCTGCTGCTCGCCCCTCTCTCTCACTTGCCCACCCCCGTGCGTGCCCTCCCCCCCCATGGTGGCTCCTTCCTCCACACCGGCGCCGCCCTTTCTCCCACCTCGGCGTCTACACCCACCGGGATCCCCCAATGCCACAGATTCGGTGGCCCTCTTCCCTACCCTGACGAGATCCATGGAGGGTGGCACGGCGGTGTTGCAGGAGAGCGGGCGACTCTCCCCCACCCTGACGCGGCGCCCTCTCTCACCCTGGTGATCGAGCTCCCCCACCTCGGTGCCCATGGCGCTCCTCACCCCCATCCCCCACCGTAGCCGCCGAGCCAATCCCGGTACTAGTGGCGTCGCTGCTTGCCGCCGTCTCCAACCCGACGACTAGAATCGACCGGCCCAACCTTCCCCTCCCCTACGTTGCATATGTATGTTTCAAGTGTTTTAGACGTTTCAGATGTATGCTACAATTGTTTCGTATGAATGTTACAAAAGTAGATCGGGGATGTTGTATATGTTGCAAGTGTTTTAGAGGCACGTTGTAAGCATTTGTTCAAAAATGTTTCATCTGTTTTCATACGTATGTTGCAATTGTTTTGATCTGGATGTTGCATATGTGTGTTGCAACAGTATGTTCCAAAATATTTCATTGCAGCAAGTGCTTTCACGTTGCAAGTTGCTAGTGTTCTACTAGATGTTGCATATATTTTTATACATATGTTGCAAGTATATGTTCTAGATGTTCCATCTATTTCGAACGTATATTGCATTCAAGTGTTTCATGTTGGACGGTGAGTCAAGGGGCGTCGGGCAATGGGGTGTGGCGAGCCGGTGGCCGGCGGACGTGCGCGCTGGGGACTGGCGCTCAGGGGCACGATGAGTCAGGGGTGCGCCTGTGGGGGCGGAGCAAACAGATGTGGATGGGGGCGAGTCAGTCAGGACGGGCGTGCTAGGCATGCGGGCGGACGTAAAGCTAAGCCTGGTGAGACGCGGGACGTCCATGCCTCGTGGTCCCTTGACGACCGTGTCCAACCTGGGGTGCACCGATCGCCGTCACCTCGCCGACACGCGCACGTTTTGCAGCCACACATGTTTGTTTCAGCTACGACTACTACCAGGTAGGATCGGGTCGCCTTGAGGCGTCCCCTTTCGGCGGCTACTCGGCCTGCCTCCGATCCGTTCCGTTCCATGTGTGAGTTGGAGGTAGTTGCTGGCCTGTCGCTGCAAAGCGTCCTGATCACCTCTCCTCTATATGTAGACAGCAGTGGCGCCACTTGCCAGTAGAAAAACAAAGTTGGTACCAGTGGCAACGTCCGGGCGTCGATTGAGTACGTATAATATCGTGTCTGCGCGCACCGAGCTGCGGGGTGCAACCGATCGAGTGAGACACGTCCCATTCCGAGGACGAGTCATCATCTCTCTCTACCGCCTACCGGGTTCCGAGGGGGCAGCCAATCGATGCTCCGCTGCTCGAGCAGAGAGAGACGATGAGGTCTGGATCGAGCTCCAGACCTTCTTCGTGCCTCCATGGCTCCGCGCTCCCGATGCTGCTGCTTCTTCTAGCTGTATCATCCGTGCAAGCTCAGCAAACGACAACGATGAAGACCGATCCAGTCGAAGGTGAGTAGTGTCTCCAGTTCTTCCCTAGAATTGAATTGACCTCAAGGCTTTCGAACCAGCTCGCATCATCGATCCATCTGCCGCCTCCTCGCTTGCATCTTCTCCTCATTACCCACCCTTCGGTGTCATGCTGGCTGCCTTCATTTGCACAAAGAACGTACAGTTCATGTCTGTTTTTGCTCTGTTTGCCTTCTCGTGCTCCCAAGAAAAAGTTCTGAATTTTCCATGGCATGTCGATTTAGTCGTGGGTTTTCCTGCCGGTTGCCGTGCAAGAAATTCTTTTCCCCCTACGGTTGCAAACATGATCTCTTCCTCTGCTACCTCTGGCTGCCTTACTTGTTCCAGGCGATCACCACCTACTCTGTTCCAAATGTCTCGGTTAGAACTTAGAAGGTCAACCGCGGATATCATATTTTCGCCTTTTGACCGCGTGCACACACCACCACCGTCCACACGTACTTGCTTGGTTTTGGCCGTTTCCGCGATGTCAGCGTGGGCGCTGATTCCTGGCCGTCCGATCGCCGCGGCGCCATCGGACGCCCGGGGAACAGGGACCTCGCTCAGAGGAATTTTTTTTATTTTAACATTTTTTTAAAACTATTTTTCAATCTGATACTGTTTATTTTTTTTTTCAAATCTAACACTTTTGACCACGTCTATTTGCATGGCGTGGCGAATTCAAGCTACCGCGCCATGTATGGAGGCGCGGCAAGGGATGACGTGGCAGCGACTAGGTCCTTTGAACGCTGACGTGGCCGGACTGCCGCGCCACGGCGCATGGCGCGGCAAGCCGCTGAGGTGCAGCAGGCCTCGCAGTGATTAGCCGTCGCGGGAGCGTGCGCGCAGATTGGATATGGACCTGGACGAGAGGTGTGGGATGTGATGTGACGCCGCGGGCGCAAAGGTCTTGTCTGCGGGACATGTCTTCTGAAGCCGAAGCCGTGTTGTCAGCAAGCGCAGCAGGGCAGGGCCAGATTGCCCAGACAGACCGACGACGCTGTGGCCGGTGGTGTGCTGCTACCTCTGTCTGATCACCTCTACAGTACACTAGCTGCCGCATACGTCTCCTTTCTTTTCACCCATTCATCCATCCTCTCATGTCTCAAGTCTCAGTACTAGTCCTATGGCTGCATGCTAGCCTGCCTTATTACATGAATGAATGAGCTAGTACTAATGTTAGTAGCGTTTTTTAACTAGGGGTGTTTAGATTCGGTCACTAAAATTTAGAAGGTGTCACGTGAGAGTATTGCATGGAGTGTTTGGATACTAATAAAAAAATAAATTACAGAATCCGTCAGTACTCCACGAGACGAATTTATTAAGCATAATTAATCCGTCATTAGCACATGTTTACTATAGCACTACATTGTCGAATCAGTCTATATTTAATACTCCATGTATGTGTCAAATATTCGATGGGACATCGACTAAAGTTTAGAAGGAGAAACCAAACACCCCATTAACAACTATGGTTAAGTTAGTCTTCTCACCTGTTTTATCCTTTTTTTCTTGCTTAAAAAAAGATCGACAACACATCGGCATAGCAGTGATACGAATCAAAATCAGATCAACTGCCACCTGCCGAGGGTCCCTAGCTAGCTTTGCTCCCTGCCATGCCTGTGATGTGGCACTACATCGGATGTGATAACACGTCGGCACAGCATCGGATGTTCGATAAATGCATGTAGTATTAAATATATGCTGATTTGATAATGTAGCGCTAAAGTAAATATGTACTAGCGGTGGATTAATTAGACTTAATAAATTCGTCTCGTGAAAGTACGGATAAATTCTGTAATTTATTTTTTTATTAGTATCCGAACACCCCATAAAATATCCCTCACGTGACACATTTTAAATTTTAGTGACAAAATCCAAACACCCTCTAATTAAAAAACGCTACTAACATGCTCATTCATTCATGTAATAAGGCAGGTTAGCATGCAGCTGTAGGACTAGTATGGGAGAGCTGAGACTTAAGACATGAGAGGATGGAGGGATGGTGAAAAGAAAGGAGACGTGTGCAGCAGCTAGTGTATTGTAGAGGTGACCAGACAGGCAGCAGCACACCACCGGCCACATCATCGTTGGTCTGTCTGGGCAGTCTGGCCCTGCCTTGCTGCGCTTGCTAACGACACGGCTCCGGTTTTAGAAGACATGTCCCACGGACAAGACCCCACTTGCTCTGTGACTGTGGCGTCACATCACATCCCACATCTCTTGTCCACGTCCAGGTCCAATCTGCGCGCACGCTCCCGCAATGGCTAATCACTGCGAGGCCTGCTGCACCTCAGCGGCATGCCGCGCCATACGCCGTGACGTGTCAGTGTCGCGCCTAGATCCGTGGCGTGGTAGTCTCGACTACGTCAGCGTTGAACGGTCCCGTCGCTGCCACGTCATCCCCTGCCGCGCCCCATGCATGACGTGGCAGCTTGAATTCGCCGCGCCATGCGAATGAGCGCAGCCAAGAGTGTTAGTTTTGAAAAAAAATTAAACATGTCAGATATAAAAATAGTTTTAAAAAAGTGTTAAAAATAAAAAAATTCCGCTCAGAGTCCGTGTCTATTTCTGCTGCTGATGTGGATGGTTTGCAGCGGCGGCGGTGAACGCGGTGTTCGCCAAGCTCGGCCAGACAGCGTCGTCGGCGTGGAACATCAGCGGCGACCCCTGCACCGGCGCCGCCACGGACGGCACAAAAATCGACAACAACCCCAGCTTCAACCCGGCCATCAAGTGCGAGTGCTCCGTCCAGAATAACAGCACCGTCTGCCACGTCACCACGCTGTAAGTGCTTCTCTCTAGTCTCTACACGGGCGTGCGCCAGGTGCTCGATGAAATGCTCGCCTCAGCCTGGCCGCTAGTGCTGGGCCTGTGCGTGCGTGAAAGCGCATAGCTGTGCTAATCAACATTGATCACTGCAAAAGCCAAATGCTTGTTGCAGGATTCGACGGTGTTTCGCGCGCCTCATTGTGTTTATATCTGACAACAAACAGCGCTCTGCACTCATGGCTGACTTGAGATGGCATGACCTGATGGGTACTTTCTTTTAACGATGCAGGAAGATATACGCACTTAATGCAGTTGGCCCCATACCACAGGAACTGCAGAACCTCACGCGCTTGACCAATCTGTATGTGCTCTCAACTTTCTTGCACGAAATTATCTGGGAGCAGCTAAAACATCCTATCTCAAGCGTCCTATTGCTGAAACTGTTCACCTGTGGTTAACTGGGGGTTTATGTTATTTGCCTGATGCGTATTGCTTAATTTTATCCTCCCATTTTCTTGTTCTGCATTATGGTAGTGGTAGAGAATAGTATAGACTTCATTTGGCGGTTAGCATTAACTGTTATTGTACCTAATATTTCTCATAAGCTTTGGCAGTAACTTAAGATGATACTTTTAACTTCACAGTGGTCCAATGTTACTCCCAATTTCAGATATGCTATGAATAATACCTAATGAAGTAATGATCCGATCTCTTTTCACCCTGATCTGATGTTGTTTCAGGAATTTATCTCAAAATTACTTAACAGGGCCTTTGCCATCTTTCCTCGGGAATTTGACTGCTATGCAGTACATGTGAGATTTATAACATAAAATACTACTCTGTTACATGTTTTTATTCTTTTTTGCTTAACATCAAATCTTAAACTTTCCCTCTTTCAAAATACAAGGAGTTTGGGCATCAATGCATTGTCTGGATCTGTTCCGAAGGAGCTTGGGAACCTTGCGAATCTTGTATCTCTGTAAGGAAAATATCTTGTTGGCACTATTCCATTAGAAATCACCTCTAAGTTTCGAATCATAAAAACTAGAAATATATGTTTCATGTCTTTGTTCCTTCAAGTAATTAACTTCTATTTGGAAAAGTAGCTAGAAATCATGTTTCCAAGAATAGATATTTCAGTTATCAATTTTTTTTAACTAACCTGGTTTGTTTTGCTAATTTTTCAGAGGCTTTGGCTCGAACTACTTAAATGGCTCCCTTCCCTCAGAGCTGGGAAACCTGGCAAAACTTGAGCAATTGTGCGTCTAGAGTCTTCACTAATTTTGCGCACTCCATACATTTTCATCTTTCAACTTTTAGAAAAGTCACCTGTCAACGATGGACTTAGCTAGGATTGTTGCACTCCATGCATTTTTCTTTTTTTAAAAAACATTTGCGCATAAGATTGTTTAGAAGTTAGAACCTAAATCAGTTCGATATGGAATGGAGTTTAGTTTGATTGACATAGTGGAAAGGGTTAGTTTAGTTTAAATAGTATTTTTTGTAGTACTATCACATTTTATTTACTTATAAAAAGTTATTTAAATATTTTCAAAATTTTATAGCCGTCTATAAGTTTTTAAAATTCAAATACTATCTATCTGTAAAAGGGACTTTTCTCTTTCATTCTTTGCTTGGACTAGTAGGCACCATGTCGTATGTTTGTTCATATGCATATCTCTTAATTGCAGGTATATTGATAGTGCCGGCCTAAGTGGTCCCCTACCATCATCATTTTCTGGGCTAACAAGAATGACAATGCTGTATGCCTATAAAAGATGTTTTGTTAACAATGTTATTCCATGCGACTCAATCTTATATGTTATTTTTTGATGTTTAGGTGGGCATCAGATAATGATTTTACTGGGCAAATACCAGATTATATTGGGAGCTGGATTAATTTAACAGATCTGTAAGATTTTTTACTAACCTTCATTGTTTGTAATTACTTTGGAAATGAAAGTAGTACAGACAAGTTGGATGTGTTCTTACGTTTTCCATATTACTCTGATTCTTTTTTTCCCAAAGAGAATTTGTATAACATGCTACAATTATCCTCAAGTTGAACTTTACTCTTAACAGAACTTAAGTTAGTAGATCAGACATTCAGTTTAGACCTACTTCACTTTTTTTTTTTCTCGTGAACACGAAGGAGAGCTGGGTATCGTTATATTAAGAAGAAATAAAAAGGGGCAAGAGAACCCTTACAATACACCCCCACACCCTTTGTTTCACAGATTATATTTGCACCTGAGCTACAAGATATAACTACCTGACCAGAGAAAGGCACTAAACCACCTATCTGCGAGGCAATCAGGTTGATAATATCCTTGGCCCCCACAAGGCCCCACAACTTCATCTCCTCGCTAGCCAACAGGAGAGTGTTTACCAGGCTTGGTGAGGCCAGGTGAGGTTCCATTGAAAACACATCAATTGCGAAGATCACATAGAGACCATGCCCCTATGGTGATTATGGAATTGAGACATTGCCAGACTTGATCGTCCACAACACCACTGCTTTTTTTTCCTCGAACACGCAGGAGAGCTGCGTATCATTATTATTAAGAGGCACCACTGCTTCTTGACTACTTCACTCATTGTGGTCTTTAAAAAAATGTTTTTTATATATTATTTTTTATTCTGCTGAATCTCCTAATACAATGCTACTTTTCCAGAAATTAGTATTAGTAATCTTTGAGTAACTTTTTCTTATGCTTATATTTTTCTATGAAGTCACATTTGAGAAATGTGAGATTGAGAGCAACATGCCATTTTTCTTTCTTTTTCTTTTTCCTTCTTGCATTATGGTATTGTAACTGATCCAGGTTTTCTTTCTTTCTTTAATACAAAGGGACACATCTCTCCTGTGCAGATTTCTGGCTACACAAATTTATTTACTTTCGTTGTACTAAAGAATTTTTATCTTCCTTCTCTCTTGACTACATAGTCAGTAAATGCATCTGTAAAGAAATGATGCTTTAAAATAGTAACACGAATTACAATTTTGTAGGCGGTTTCAAGGCAATTCGTTTCAAGGTCCACTTCCAGCCACTCTTTCTAATCTCGTCCAACTAAAAAGCTTGTAAGTAATGGCGAGAGTAACTAAGTATTATTCTCTAATTGTAATTTTACTGTCTGGAAGTATGAATTACTTATTTCTGTGGTGCAGACGAATAGGTGACATAGTAAATGGAAGTTCTTCACTGACATTCATCAGTAACATGACATCTTTGAACACATTGTATGGATAACTTTGTCATCACTTAAGGACTCAAATTATGTCTTGATATTTGATATAGTGCAATCAAGGTATTAAAGCCAAACTCTTGGCGTGCTTCATTGCAGAATTTTGAGGAATTGCAGGATATCTGATAGCCTGGCGTCAGTGAACTTTTCACAGTTTGCAAATCTAAACTTATTGTAAGGCATTTTGTTTCTTGCAAACTCCAGTCAAGTGTGATTCGTGCAAAGATGCTTTAATGAACTGCTATGGATTATGCTTTGTTTAATTACTTACTCCCCTCTTGTTCTCCGTTTTCCTGTTACAGGGATTTGAGTTTTAACAATATCACAGGCCAAGTTCCAGAAGCCCTTGTGAATCTGAATTCACTCAACTTCTTGTATAGTTTTTACTGTCTTCAACTTATTCCTTCATTTTGAAGATAGTCATTGTTCATGTTGCTAATGCTAGCAATTTTTTCCTACCAGATTTCTTGGTAATAATAGTCTTTCAGGAAGCCTGCCGAGCTCTATAGGAACTTCTCTTCAAAATTTGTATGTCATCACAGTCCAATTTTGTTTGTGCAATAAAAGCAGGGAGGCTTTTATCTATAACATTCCCCTTTTATCTTTTCTGTAGAGATTTTTCTTACAACCAGCTGTCAGGCAACTTTCCTTCTTGGACTACTCAGAACAATTTGCAACTGTGAGTACTGAGTTCTGAAACTTCAAGTGACCACCTAAACGGCTGAACCATATCCAACCCAATTAGGTCAATTCAACCCATCCTAGATTATTAGACTTATTGAGATGCTGTTTTTTTTTGCATCCATATCATTTGTTTTTTTAATAAATTGTTACAATTCTAATCTACATATGATTAAGAATCTTTATTATAGAAACAAACGTGCTTAACCTTACAAACAAGCACACTAAACTGAATCAAATATCTGCCCTACTTAGACAAACCCTCAATATGCTATCAAAGTAACAGTGATGCCTTCTAATTATTTTTTCTGTGTTTCATTCTACATAGGAACTTGGTGGCGAACAATTTCGTGACGAATAGGTTAGCTCATATTCTGATATCACCTCAAGTTCTCAAGTACAATCATTATGTTCTCTCAGCATATAGATTGGATTCATAATGTCAATGTTTTACATCTGCAGTGGACCTTCGGGGCTGTCGTGCCTTCAGAGCGACACACCTTGTTTTCTTGGCTCTCCACAATGTGATCTTACCACCTTTACAATTTCAAGCATGAGCCTACTTGAGAAATACTAGACAGATGTACTAAATTAACACCAATGTTAAACAATTGACTTGCTTGCAGCTGCCTCTCTTGCTGTGGACTGTGGGAGCAGTAGATCTATATCTGGCTCTGACAACTCCATGTATCAACCTGATGATGCCATTCTTGGAGCTGCATCCTATTATGTTACAGGAGCACAAACATGGGGTGTTAGCAATGTGGGCAAGTTCATGGATGTAACAAATGGAAGTTACATAATCTACAGCTCACATCAATTCCAGAATACCCTAGATTCAGAACTATTCCAGACAGCAAGGATGTCACCATCATCTTTGAGATACTATGGTATTGGACTCCAGAATGGAAACTATACAGTCACACTTCAATTTGCAGAGTTTGACTTTGAAGATTCACAGACTTGGAAGAGTGTTGGGAGAAGGGTTTTCGATATCTATCTCCAGGTTGGTTCCTGTTGAGCTGATTACCTACATTTTGGGGTTTTAGCATATGAGCTGGTTAAGACTTCGTATCATTTTCTTGTGTTTGGCATAGGGCGAGCGTAAGGAGAAGAACTTTGACATAAGGAAGGCAGCAGGGGGGAAATCTTACACTGCTGTCAAGAAGCAGTATATTGTTCCTGTCACTAGAAACTTCCTTGAGATTCATCTTTTCTGGGCCGGCAAGGGAACTTGTTGCATTCCTAGTCAAGGCTACTACGGGCCTGCAATCTCAGCTTTGAGTGCAACTCCAAGTACTCCCCTTAGATACAATCATCGTTTAACATTTTTTAGATAATTTCCTTTGGGTGAATAATGCATATATAGTTTCTACTTTGAGAAGCGCTTATGGTTGAAACAATACATGCACTTATAGTAGTAGTACATATACAAATACTGCTTCTGCTATAACATCGTATTTTTCTAATAAGTGAACTTTCTCACAGATTTCACCCCTACAGTCCGTAATTCTGCACAGAAGAAGAGCAGTAGTAAAACAGGTGTAATTGTTGGAGTCGTGGTTGGTGCAGCAGTTTTGGGAGTACTAGCACTTGCTGGACTCTGTGTGTGGAGGCAGAAAAGGAGAAAACTATTATTGGAGCAACAAGGTAAATGAGATACCATGATCACAATGTATTATGAATCGAGCTAAGAGATTGTGTTTATAAACTTATATTTTATGATGTTTTCAGAGCTTTACAGTATTGTTGGAAGACCCAATGTATTCGCTTATGGTGAACTAAGGACCGCTACTGAAAATTTTAGTTCCAATAATCTTCTTGGTGAAGGAGGATATGGGTCAGTTTATAAGGTTAGTTTAACTATAGTGCTCATGGATGTGAATTTTCTATGAAGCCTCTGAAAGTAATTTTCCTAAGTTATTCATAGCAAAAGGGGGTACCCATGTTTGTTTTTTTATTATATGCTAGAAACGGTTAGTTTTTATGTTTAGTTCATCTCCATTTTTGGGTGATGCTTCAATTATTTTCACGTATATCAATATATGCACACTGGCTACTTTCACTATTGTTTTCCTTCTCTATTGTTTCTAGTTGCGATTATAGTTTCTACACAGGTTTGGTAAAGTGAGAGTGCTACTTCTTTTTTCTATTCAAACTTACATTATTGAAAATGGCACCTTCTTGCAGGGTAAATTAGCTGATGGAAGGGTGGTGGCTGTAAAACAGTTATCTGAAACATCTCATCAGGGAAGACAGCAATTTGCAGCTGAAATAGAAACTATTTCTCGAGTGCAACACCGTAATCTTGTGAAGTTGTATGGTTGCTGTCTTGAGGGAAATAAACCACTGTTGGTTTATGAGTACCTGGAGAATGGAAGCCTTGATAAAGCATTATTTGGTACAAGCTCATTTCAGTTTGATACAACAGTAATTCTAGGAGTTCAGGTTTCTTGTTTAAATAAAACTTAACATTTATATTTGCAGGAAGTGGGAAACTGAACGTAGACTGGCCAACACGCTTTGAGATATGCTTAGGCATTGCAAGAGGCCTCGCTTATCTCCATGAAGAGTCTAGTATCCGTGTTGTGCATAGGGACATAAAGGCTAGCAATGTCTTACTTGATGCAAATCTCAACCCTAAGATCTCGGATTTCGGGCTCGCCAAACTTTATGATGACAAGAAGACTCATGTCAGCACAAAAGTTGCGGGTACATTGTAAGTACATTTCCATCTTGCCCCCCTTACAAGTGCATATTATTTTCACATGTGAGCTAATGCCAATTTCTTACTCTTCTGTGAAGTGGTTATCTTGCGCCTGAGTACGCCATGAGAGGTCATATGACTGAGAAAGTTGATGTGTTTGCATTTGGCGTGGTCATATTGGAGACCTTAGCTGGAAGGCCAAATTTTGACAATACGCTAGATGAAGGCAAGGTTTATATTTTAGAATGGGTATGTTGACTCTGAACTCTAGCCTCGAAGTTGGGCAGTGTTGCAGTCTGGTATCTGTACTGTTAGTATGATCTTCAGCAAAATTTATGCTAGGGATTTACAATATCCATCTCGCATGCCTTCATAAAAACCTCTTTTATCACATAGTTTCATATGATTTATTTTGTGTAATTGCCAAACTGTAAAAAAAATGGTAGTTGTAGTATTGCCTGTTGGTTTATGATTCTTGAACAAATGGTGCCATTTTTTACTATGGCAGCATTAATTGGTATCTTATTGCTGCATAAGAGGTTGATTGCATTTTTCTTCTTCTTCTTTTTATTTTGACTTTGGCTAGCGCAACAAACATAATGTAGATCTGAATTTGTACAGTGAAACATCACTGAAGACAAAGTCACTCCAGCGTGGCATCTTGTCATTTCTAGCTACTCTTCTGTGTTTTCAGGTCTGGCAACTGTACGAAGAAAACCACCCTCTGGACATGGTCGACCCCAAGCTCGCAGAATTCAACAGCGACGAGGTGCTCTGTGCCATCCACGTGGCCCTCCTCTGCACCCAGGGCTCACCACACCAGCGTCCATCCATGTCACGGGCGGTGTCGATGCTGGCGGGAGACGTGGAGGTGGGGAAGGTGGTGAACAAACCCAGCTACATCACCGAGTGGCAGATCAAGGGTGGCGACACCAGCAGCTTCATGAGCAACAATGTCAGTGGGCAGTCAAGCGTGGCACCGAGGTTGCCAGCCGCGCACACCTCGTCGCCATTCCTGAGCTCTGTCATTGAAGAAGGCCGGTGATGATTAGCAAGTTCTCTCGAGCGACTCTTGTAATTAAACTCACGTTACAAAATGCTCTCGGATGATCTGGTTTTGCAGGCGGGCTGTGTGAGCCTGTTAGGTTATACTCCTATATATGTGCTGCGCCCGATGGCTGCTTCGACATAGGGTTTTTTTTTTTTTGAATTTTGGTTCGCTTTCGACTTGTGCAGTTCGTTTTTGTATGCAAATCATGATATTGGATGGTTAGGTCTATTTGGAATTTTGGATGTTTGTGGTGTATATATGATTTGCAAGAACTAAGTCACATTAGATATAGAAAAATATTCTCATATCAATTTTCGGTCACATGCATAACCTGTATAGTATTCATATTGTAATTTGTGGACAACTCTAATTTAGACACTTGTTGACACAGTAGTAGGCAATGGAAAAAATACTCGTTTTTGGACAGATAGATGGTTGCTTGGTCAGAGCTTAGAACAGGCCATGCCACATTTGTTTAGCGCTATAGCAACCAGAGCAAGGAAAAGATCAGTTTACGATGCTATCACGGGGGAAAATGGGTTTCTGATATAAGAGGTGCTTTAAGTGTGCCTGTTCTGATTGAATACCTTCACCTTTGGGGTCTTTTGTCAAATGTGGTACTGCATCCTGAGGTGGAAGATACACATATCTGGAAACTTTCAGCTTCCGGTATGTATTCTAATAAATCAGCTTATGAGGCCTTGTTCATTGGAGCTACTCATTTCAGTCCTTGGGAGTTGATCTGGAAGAGCTTTGGGCCTGTGGAAGTGCAAGTTCTTCATGTGGACAGTAGCTCACAATAGATGTTGGACAGTGACAGACTAGCACGTCCGAGGTCTTGATCACCCAACGCAGTGTCCACTCTGTGATCGGGCTGGTGAAACAATAGACCATCTTCGGATCTCTTGTGTCTTCGCCTGGCAAACATGGTACAACATTCTGCAATCTTTTGGACTGCAAGATGTGGCTCCACAAATGGTTGATTTGATTTTTGTGGACTGGTGGGAGGGTGCTTGCAGTCACTTTACATCAAGTGAAGAAGGGGTTCAATTCCATTATTATTTTGGGAGCTTGGTTAATTTGGAAGCATCGAAACCATTGTGTTTTTGATGGTGGAACTCCTAGCCTAGCTAGGGTCCTCTCATTTTAAGGAAGAAGCTCACGGTGGGCAGGCAGGGGGCTCGAGGAGTTTCTTATCTCCTTGCCCTGGCTCCTACCTCCTAGCTCTTTTTGGGTCCGGTGGTTTTTGGTCCTGCCTTATAGTTCTCTAGAGACATAACGTAGTTTGGGTTCTTAGGGTGGGTTGCGATTTTCTCTGTAGGTTTCAACAGTTTTTTGGGGCTCTTTTCCCCCTCCTTTTTCTTCTTAATATATTGATGCGCAGTTCTCCTGCGCGTTCGAGAAAAAAAGAAAAAGAAAAAGAAGAAAAAAAGAAAAAAAAATTTAGACACTTAAAATATGCCTTATATTTCTAGAGAGAGGAAGTACATTTTTGTGTGTAATGCTAGAAATATCAGTGGCCTTAGTATTTTGGTTAATTAACACTTCAGAGTTCAGACCAAAGGCAGGCAGGGAGAAAAGTTAGAATTCAAGATGTGTTTGTCCGTGTCGAAAGCTTCTTCTGACCTTAATTACTCCATTGAATCGGTCCAAATCCATAAAAGTTATCCATGGCAATGATCTCATTCCGGGGAATTTATACCAGGAAGGTATATATTTGAGCCAATCATGTGTGCAATTTCAAGGCAGTTGCAAATTTATCGTGCTTGTTAAGGAAAAAGGAATTCCATATTGAAGCGTTAGGAATAAAGTCAAAACCTGTAATATGTCAACTATTGAAACTATACCTCTTTTTTTGAGACAAACTATTGAAACTATACCTAATTCGACTAACAGGGTCACCTCCCGTAATCTTCATGAGCGTCGTGTCCTACTACTTGGAACTTGGAAGTAACTGTTGCTTGTCGCACCCCGCATGCATCGAGTGTTTATATCTGAGGGGCCCGGAGACAAGTCCATTCGGTTCCGAAGGCTTGGTCGTCACGTAATATATATGAGATGTGATGTCATTTTATTTACGGCCCGGAGACATCCAATTTTCGGTCAAAAGTAAAAGAGTGGAAAGTTTGACAGATACTCGGATACCCTCACCAGGCGGAGTCGGCCTGCCTGTCTGGCTCTAGGAATACGATTGAACACCACCCAGAACTGGACGCCATTATTGATTCTGAGTCTCTAAGACCTACGAAACGCTAAATTCTAGTCGACGTGCAGTTACCCTAATAGTACAAAACATCGACAAAAAGTCAAAACCGCTAAATTCTCAGACCCGCCCGATTCCAGCCGGAGAAGTAGGGCCACGTCACTCCAAATTCTTTCGGCCGCGGCTTCTGCTGCTGCTCTTGTTGGCTTCTATCGGCTTTCCCTCTGCTTCCGTCGGTGTCGTGCGGCTTCTACTCCGAAGCCAGCCCACCAAATATATATGCGAGCTTCTTATTCTGCTTCCCGATCCTTCCAGTAGCAAAAAAAAAAAAAAAAAACTGCCTGAGCCAACCATGGTCGCTTGTGCTCGTCGCTTGCGCCTGGCGTGTGTACCCCGGTTGTAGCGCCCGTGTCCCGCCAAAGAGCGCCAGCCGCGTCACTACTCGTTGTTGTTTCCACCGCTGCGCCCTCCCCTGCTTCCCGCCGCGGTCACGTCGTGACCCCGGTGAGCCAGAGCACGGGAGCTGCCTTAAATCTCACGTGCTTGTGTCTCCGCCTTGGCGTCCGTGTGCCAACTGTCCCTACTCCGCCTTGAATTGCGTCACGACGTGCTCCAATTTGGAGTTTTCCCTCCGCTGTGCCATTAAGGCCGGGTTCGGCCGCGGCCGAGGGCAACCGCTCACCGCACCATCCCACGCCCAGCCAACTGCGCCACGAGCTTCGCCTCCACCTCCACTGCACCCTGCGCGCCTCACTTGCACCTCTACCGCCTCACCGGTGCTACTGACGCGGCCGCGCCGTCGCGGAGCGCCACCGCCTCCCGCTGGCCGCACGTGGCCAACCCTGCTTGGGGTATCTCCAACTGAACCATCACCGCAGCCGTGACCAGGGTAAGCTAGTGATGCTCTCGTGCTAGCTAGTAGCTGCGCGGTGGTCTATACGGTCGCGCCACCGCCGCATGCGGCCGCTCACTGTGGCCGTCACTTCCGCAAGCTCCGCCGCTACCGTAGCTTCGGTAAGTGTAGGGGCTAGGGCTGTAGGCACAGGTCGGCCCACTAGCTATGCATGGGTGGTTCCCGGTTGGCCGGCGTGGTCGCCTAGTGCCACGTCCGCCGCGCCAGCGCTCGCAGGTGTGGCTAGGGACCTGGCCGTGGTAAAGGCGATAGTATTCGAATAGGCTCTCTCTCGGGAAATAGTGCCGTGGATGGTGGGTTGATTGGATCTAAGCGCGGGGGAGTTTTTGCGAGTTGGCAGCGCGTGCGTGGGTCGCCCGGTCATGGGCCGCCTCGTGGTGGGCCGCATCCCGCGGCAGCACGGTGGTGGGCCATGGAGTGGAATTCATTTTTCCTTTTCTTAATGAATTAGAAATAGCTTTATATTTTAATTTCTGAGCTAAACTTTGAAAATTAATATCAATTCGCATAGATGTCCAAAAATTGTGAAATAAATTTTATTTAGTTCCTAAAAATGTTGTCTATCTGATGGCATAGTTAGTTTATGCATGTCTGAGTTGATACTGAGGCATATTAAATCAATTGCGAGTGTTTAGTGTTATTTAGATTAATATTTGTAGGATTTTTTGTGGCAAATGGATAATAGTTTTGTCTAATAAATTTTTACAATAGGTTCATTGTATTATTATGTGCTCACTGTAATTTTGTAGCCTTAGAATAGGTTGATAAATAGGGTAGCTAAGTACTCCTTGTTTTAGTATATATGAAATCGTAAATAAAGTAAGAAATGCATTTTTGGTTGCTAAGATAATACTCAAATGTTTCATACATGTTTAGTGAAAAGGATGGGTAGCTTAGCATCTTAGTCATTAGAGTTAGCTTAGTAGCTTGGTAGATGTATTGCTATTTTAAGAGCTGATGTTGCTAAAATGCTAAGTGTTGCATCATCATTGTATGCATGTAGAGAACACATTGGTGGAGTTCATGACCGCTGAAGAGCAGGAATACGAGGAGGTGATTGAAGAGTACGAGGAGAAGATTCTCGTGTAGGAGGAGGTCCCGGAGCCGCTACTGACTGACTGAACTGACACCGCGCCTGCCCAAGGCAAGTCCCGGTGCATAACCCTTATTTTGAATAATCACTGAAAATATGTATGTATATATATATGATGTGCAATTACGTTACATGATTTATATTGAAACTACATGCATAGATATATCTACCTATGAGTCCTACTAGCTTAGGTTGAGTAGCTGCTATGCTTAGGTTTTTCGGTAGCGTGAGTAACTTGCCATTACTCACAATAGGTGATTATTATTATCACTCTCATGATAAAATGGTGAAAAGAAATGGAGACCGGACAGGGATATGGTACGGGTATTGGTGGGTGTAAGAGGTTGTGTCCCGCGGCCAACGGGGCATAACTTGGTTACACTATTTTCCCTGTCCGTGTCGGTTAAGGACCGACCATTGCATTAGATTATAGTCAGGTCACAGATTTATTATCCTGAGCATATACTTGTTTATGGGAGCATGGAAGGCTCGTTGCTCTTTTGTATCGTGGGTTCTAGTTCTTTCCGGATCGACTGATTGGAGGTGGAGATTGTGGAGGTCTAAGCACCACACTAAGTTCGGGACTCGGTGTGTGGGGCTTGGAGTCCAAGTTTGGACGAGGACTGGATCCCTTGATAGAAGAGTGATGGGTTGGTCCTGCTTGTGCCTAGGGTACAAGCGGGGCGTGTGTTTTGGGTACCCAGCTGAGCACATTGATTCGTGAATCGCCGGGTAATCCGGTATGATTTGTCTACAATTTAGCACCGTAGTAAGAACTGAAAGATGAAAGATGGTGAAATGGACCTGCTTGCTCAACTCTTGCTTGAAAGTAGAACATGTACTTATCTAAAATGGTTAGATAATGAACTAATCATGACTGCTAAAAAGAAACATACATAAGGATTCATTACTAGTATTGCTTTCTGCAAAAAGGAAACCCAGCAACCCATAAAGCTTATCATATCCTTTGAAGTCAGAAAATTATTCCCACTAGTCGGATAAGTCTTGCGAGTACATTGTGTACTCATGATTTATTTACCCCTGTTGCAGGTGCTGCTTGAAGAGTAGCTGTTGTGTGGATGATTCTTCTGGTGAGCACAGACGGATCCTTGTATTCTACCGTTAGATGTTTATTGTAATTCTGTTGTTTAAATTCCGCACGCTGAACTTAGTATTGTAATAATGTCTTTCTAAGAACTCTCGTTGTATGAAATGGACTAAGTATTATAAACTCGTTCTCATTATTGGATCCTGAAGAAAAAACGTGGATTATTCGAATTCTCCCTTGAGGTGTGCTCAACGGAACCATCCGGTGTAGTTTACTTTCGGGGCGCTTAGTGTCTGGTAGAAGACAAGCGCCTCTGGAAGCGTGCTATTTCAGACGGTTTTGCCACAATGGACATCGAAGACTCGCAGACTTGGAAGAGTGTAGGGAGAAGCGATTTTGATATCTATGTCCAAGTAGGTTCTAACCTAGACTTTTGGGTTGTTTATTTGCTTATTATCATTTGGAAAAGTTTTTTTAAAAAAAAATTATATTCATGTTTTGGTAAGGGTGAGCCTAAGGTGCAGAACTTTGACATAAAGAAAGCAGCTGGAGGGAAATCTTACATTGCGGTCGAGAAGCAATATATTGTTCCTGTCACTAGAAACTTCCTTGAGATTCATCTCTTCTGGGCTGGCAAGGGCACTTGTTGCATACCTACTAGAGGCTACTACGGGCCTATGATCTCTGCTTTGAGTGCAACTCCAAGTACTTCCCATAGCTACTAACCATTGTTATTATATTGTTTTGATAATTTTCTTGGTGTAAACTGATGCCTATATAGTTCCTACTGTGACAAAATTGATAACTAAATGAACCAACAATTACACACCTAATATATTATTGAAACGTATCAACTTTGAACCTTTCTAAATTCTCATATATATATATATATACATTCAAATAGAAAAGTGAAAATTCATAAACACTTAACATAATATGCAAAGTTGGTTATATGATCACATTTTCCTAACAAGGGGATTTTTGTGATAGGTTTCAAACCTATATCACATAAAGCGACACAGACAAAGCGTCTAGGTGTAACTGTTGGAGTTGTGGTTGGGGCAACAACTTTAGAACTAGTAGTGCTTTCTGGACTCTACATCTGGAGGCAGAAAACAAGAAAACCATCATCGAAGAAACATGGTAAATGATGTGCTAGGCTCACAATGTATTCTTAAATTGGACAAAAAGGTTATACTCATGAATTTATATTTTCTTATGCTTGTAGAGCTATACAGAATTGCTGGAAGATCTAGTATATTCAATTACAGCTATGGAGAACTAAGGATGGCTAGTGATAATTTTAATCCCACTAACCTTCTTGGTGAAGGAGGATATGGATCAGTTTATAAGGTTAGTTCATTTGTTGTACACATGAATGTGAATTTGCTATGAAGTTGTCCTCTAAACTTAAGTTTCCCATACTGTAGAGATAAGTTATGCAGAACAGAGTCCTCTTTCTTTTTGCAAAGCTGGCTAGGTTGGGTAACACTTATGCCACTCTCTTAATAAAACCAATTTATATACACGTTCTCTACCACTTTACTTTTTTGTTACTTTTTGGTAGTTCTATTTTCTAGTTTCTGCATATGGTTGCCAAAATGAAAGTTAGCAGTATATTCATGTTGTCCATTGTGGTATATGTATGGTAAAGAGATGTTTGAAAGCTGCATTCTTAAAAAATGACACTTTTTTGGTAGGCTAAACTGACCGATGGGAGCATGGTGGCAGTAAAACAACTATCTGAAACATCTCGTCAAGGGAAGACGCAATTCATAGCTGAAATAGAAACTATTTCACAAGTGCAACACCGTAATCTTGTGAAGTTGTATGGTTGCTGCCTTGATGGCAATATCCGTTGTTGGTTTACGAGTACCTAGAGAATGGAAGTCTTGATAAAGCCTTGTTTGGTAAACCTTCATTAAATTTGATGCAACCTGTAATTCTTGGGGTTCACTATATAACTTATCATTAATTTCCAGGAAGTGGGAGATTGAACCTAGATTGGACAACACTCTTCGAGATATGTTTAGGCATTGCAAGAGGTCTAGCTTATCTACATGAAGAGTCTAGCATTCGTGTTGTGCATAGGGACATAAAGGCCAATAATGTATTACTTGACTCCAATCTAAACCCTAAGATCTCATATTTTGGGCTCGCCAGACTTTATGATGATAAGAAGACACATGTTAGCACAAAAGTTGCTGGTACTTTGTAAGGACATTTGCATCTTGGCCCCTTTATTTTTACACATCATTTTCATAAATTTATGAGCTAACAACATCATTTTTGCTCTTCTATCAAGTGGTTATCTTGCACCTGAGTACGCCATGAGAGGTCATATGACTGAGAAAGTTGATGTGTTTGCTTTTGGTGTCGTCATATTGGAAACGATAGCTGGAAAGCCAAACTATGATGACAGGCTTGACGAAGACATGGCTTATCTTTTAGAATGGGTAAGGACACTATAAATTTATACCAATGAGACAATATTGCATTTTTTAGTATGTTAGTTGACTAATTGGAAAAAAAAACTACATTGAGTTATATGGGGATATAACATTAAAGCTTGTGATTGTTGATAAGATTTTTCAATAAACACTTAGCCATAGTTTTTACATAACTAAATCACGAGAAAAAGATGGAATGAATAACTAATAAACTGCATATATCATTCTAGTTTTAGTTCGCCAAGGTTTCTATAGCACTCCCCTTGACACACAATATCATTTGTTCAAGAAGAATTCTACTCTAGCGGCCCTCTTCTAAAACAGGTAACAATTTTAGTTTTGACCACCAATATAAAGAATTGTATGTACTCCCTCCATCCCAAAATGATAAGCGTATTTTATATAGGAAAAAGTCATACAAAATAGGTTTTAAATCTTAATTTCTCTAACAATATATTGTCATTTTCTAAAACATCAATATCATCTCAAAGGCACTTTAAACACAAATCTATTGGTGCAAATTTCATATCCTGAATTAATTTATATTTAATTTGAATATTAATTATTGGTCAAAAATTGTAAAATTTGACTTATCTCTATATCAAATAGCTTACCATTGTGGAATAGAGGAAGTATATACTTGTTTCGGTTTGAAATATATAGAGATACATTTTTCATAAAAATATATATTAGTCAAAGTGTCACTTATAAGACCTTCTTAATATCCTAGCGGCCACCTCGCATGATGTTAAAATTTAGCATGTCGGCTTTATCGTGGATCTTAAATACTGGAACCGTATATTTAAAATTGTTTGTTTGATTCTTTACTCTAATAACGCAGCGAACCACGGTGTATTTGGTTGAACTTAAAACAGATTGACTGTACGAGGGAGACCATCCTCTGGACGTTGTGGACCCCAGGCTGACGGAATTCGATAGCCGAGAGGTTCTCCGTGCCATCCGCGTGGGCCTCCTGTGCATCCAGAGCTCACCTCGGCAGCGGCCGTCCATGTCCAGGGTGGTGTCCATGCTTGTTGGAGACGCCGAGGTGCCCCCAAGCCCAGCTACGTCACCGAGTGGCAGTCCAGCTCGGGGCCCATGGAGGAGCAGGCCCGCATGTCGGCGTCGCCGTACCTGATGAGCTCCTCCGTCATCGAGGAAGGCCGGTGACACCACGTACGTCATTGATTTGATCCGATACAAATCATGGCCAGGCCGGCCTTTGATCGAAAACGGTCCATTAAGTTGTCATCAAGTGAAGGGCTGTTTGCTGTGCTGTGTCCTTGTGGTTGTGGCCTGTGCTTGCTCGAATCCCTCCCTGTTCTTCAGGAACCATCGAACACCAGGCGCAGAAATACAACAACGGTTCATTAGGCAGAGGCATGGTGCGAGTTGCATGGGACTAAACCCTACGTGTAGACCGACCTCGGTTTCCTTTTTTTTTTTTGAAATTATTAAAATCTAGACCATGCTATGCTGTGATAGTCTTCGATGATTTGAATTAGACAGCACGTGTGTCAGTCCAAAGCTAATATAATTCTGAAAAAAAAAACACATAGATGGTTGATGGTGTGCATTCGCGTCCAGGCCACTTGCAACGTGAGGACTGAGGAACCGTACTGTCTCTCCAATCGAACTGCACGCAAGTAGGCAACGGCCATGCATGCATAGCATAGAGCAACGTGAGACTGAGAGCAAGTTGTGCCACTGGTGGGCATGCATTCGGGGAACGATGGTTGGTTGCTGCCTGTTGGTTACATGTCAGGATGCATGTGCGTACACTACCAGTTGCAGAATGCAGTTAACTTAGAACGAGGCCCACGTACATAAGCACGCGCGATTCCTCTAGCGTCAATTGCATTTTGCAGGGCAATATGGCATGCATGCCTGTACATGTGGGGTTTGGAGCAGGATCCACTGACAGACACCGCTTCGTTCTGACGCTAGCTGTTGTTTAATCACACTGTTCATCGATGACGCTGCAAATAATTACTCTACCAAGGACGATGATCATCAATAATATAAATGTTCATCGATCTCTGTCATTGGAAGCCCAAATTAAAGTCACAGGATCTCCGTCATCGAGGAAGGCCCCGGTGGCAGTACGTCGTCATTGATTTGATCCGATACAAATCATGGTCAGGCGGGCCTTTGATCGGAAACGGCCCACTAAGTTGTCAAGTGAAGGGTTGTTTGTTGTGTTGTGAGTGCGCTTTGAAAATGGCCCATTGAGTTTGCAAACGGTCGATAATTTAATTTCTGTGGCTACCTGGGCTCGAATCACTCTCTTGTTCTAGAACAACCATCAAATGCCAGGCGCAATACATACCCGTGAAACGGTTTCCTTCTTGAAATTAAAATCTAGTCCGTGCTAACCTTTCGATGATTTGAATTAAACAACATTTGTCAGTCCAAAGAAGTATTGGATTACTGAAGCAGACGATCAGAGAGGGATAAATAGAAGCCTCAAAATTTTCTCTCTATACTAATTCTTGTGCCGGGGTCTAGCCGAGCACCCATGTTCATAGGCCCAAGAATCACCTCCAAATGATCTAGTACAACTTCAAAAAAGAACACCAAGAAAAGGCTGAAAAAATTCGCAAAAAGAACAAAAACAAATCATCCAAAGGGAGAAGACAATAGATATAAATTCCACACGAATTTATTATCTTATATGGATTAAAGAATAAAAAATTCATCTATATATCATATTAGCCTACCTCCCCACATCTTTCCACTATTGTGAACGAAAAGTCTAAGAGGTGCACATCTCTCTCTAGGGCATCCTTGCTCTTGGATACAGTGGCGGACCCAGGATTTCAGAGTAGGGTAGGCCAAGAAATCAAATTGAGGTCGCAGCAAAGGACTCGAGTAGTTGGTGCCGCGTGGGTCGCGCCGTCGTCGAGCCCGAGCGTGCTGCGCCACCTGCGCGCGGGTCGCGTGGTCACGCCGAGCCCCAGGACGAACAGCGAGTGGGAGGCGGGTCAGGCGATCAGCGGCGAGCGGGCGGCGGTTTGGAGGCTAGCGGCCGGCGATGTTCCAGTGCGTGGCGTGGCGGCGGGCTGTGGCGCCACGACGGCCGCAAGGGCGGGGGCACGAGCGGACTAGCTGCGGCGCAGTGCGATTCCACGAAGGGGAATTAGGGATTTTTTCGTCAAGAAAGAGGATGGGGATTGGGGAGTGGGAAGGCCCGATGGGCAGGTCGGGTGTGGCCTGTGGACTTCTTTGTGTTTGACGAGAATCAGAGCCAAAATATAGCAAAGAATAGCAATTTGAGCCTTAACTATATAATACATGTATATACCTCTGCAAACTACTAAAATTTTCCCAAAAATGTTGGGTATGCCTGGGAATACCTAGGCACAATTGTGGATCCGCCCATGCTTGGATAAGCCTAGGAAATTAGAAAGTGAAACGGATAATTGTCTTGGACAACCGATTTTTATTTATAAGGCTATTACACATTCCAAGAATACCTCTAAGTTTACACATGTGAACCACTAGGCCACTAGAAACAAAATGATCTAAGTAGGTCTTCCATATATCGGACGACCACGGTCCCTTCAAGAAGTTGCTTTGCCTCAATGCAAGCTCTCTAATAATGCCATCTGTAGCATCGAGATCTCCCTGGGTTTTGAGGTCCAAACTTGAAAATGACTCTGACTCCAGTTTTTGACGCAAAAACCGCCAAACCCTCTAGGGCCGTGTAGCCAGTACGCAACTCCTCCGATGTCGACCCCTATCCTCCATGTCCTAGGCCCGACGACCCACTATTTGCTCGCGACATATCGCCTTGACTTCCAATCCCGGTCTTGACTTCATTTAACATAATCTTATCACCATCTCACGTGCGCTCTTACTCATTACCGTGGCAAGTGCTAGTCATCTTGGGTCCGTAGTCCGGCCTCTTGGTCCTTTGGTCCAAGCCTCCATATTCGGTATTCACCGCCCGTAGTGCATCGATCTAAACCTCTCACTTGACCTTCTCGATTGTTGTCAACCACACCTTGATGCACTCAATACCTGCATATTTTCACAAACCAAGAGGTGTGTTGCACAGTAGACACTAACTCAACATCTTTTTTCTCTCCATGAAGACAATGCCGCTATTTTTATTAGTACGGGAAAAATAAAAAAGGCAACAACTGCTGGTCCAAATTTTTGATTGGAAACTAGGCCTGAAAACAAACAATGTATATGGGGGCGAAAAACACCACCCCATGCAAAAGCTAAAACCAGTCACTTAAGAAAGCAACATGAAGCTCAAATAAAACACAACTCACAAAGATAGGCACAAGGCGCACAACTAAACCAACAAAACAAAGCAACATGAAGGCCAAATAAAACACAACTCACAAAGATAGCACAAGGAGCACAACTAAACCAACAAAACTACCGCATACCACATCTAGATAAACTAAACCACGCTAGAACCAATCATTCATCGTGTATGATATATGGGAACATACCCATCCTGCCATCTCACAAAGGTTAATATCATAATATGTAAAATAAAAATAGATAGTTGATGATGTGCACATGCTTTGAGACCACTAGGAACGTGACGAGGAGCGTACTTTCTTGACCAGTGGCCCCGGAGCCTTTCCAACCGCACGCAACTATTATGCATTGTGAGACTCAGAGCAAGTTGGGCTGGTAGGTGTTTGGTGTGAGACTCCGATCGGTTACTAAAGTACTGGTTAAATGTCAGGATGTATGCACTACTTGCATAAAATGCAATTGACTTATAACGACTAACGAGTCAATTGCATTTTTTGCAAGGCAAGGCCGCAAGATGGCATGCATCTGTGGGGGGTTTAGCGCCGGATCCTCCGACAGCCACTACTTCGAAGGCTGTTGTTAAATCACTGACCGTCGCTGATGCTATAAGGGTGTGTTTGTTTTGAAGAATGAGATGATCCATCATCTTCTCACTCCTCACTTTTTTGTATTTAGTTTGTGGAATGGAATGAATTGATCCATCACCACCTCATTTCTCATAAGCTAATAATTAGTATATGCATGAGGAATGGGTTGATTCCACCAAAATTCATGAGATGAACTCATGATGCATCACCTCATGAAGCATGTGATGACTCCACAAACCAAATACACCATAAATTACTCTAGCAAGGACGCTAATCACATGACTGTTCATGTGGAATATGTCGGCGAGCTTGGAATAGATCGATATTACGTTGCTTCTTCCCACATTGCCAACCATAAATTACTCTAGCAAGGACTTTAATCACATGACTGTTCATGTGGAATATGTCGGCGCGCTTGGAATAGATCGATATTACGTTTCTTCTTCCCACATTACCAACTTGGAATATGTCCGCTTGGAATCGATCGATTCGTTGCTTTTCGTACATGCATCGAGTATATATATTAATGTAATGGCGCCATGGTGCCCGAACGCATGTCCATGTCCTAGCTAGGCTTCCTCAGAAGGGCGATGGGCAGGCTAAGTGAAAGAGCAGATAGAGGGATGGAGATGATGAGCTCCTGCGTCCGTTGCCCTGTGCTCTCGATGCTGCTCTTTCTTCTATTAACACTACTGGCCGGAGCTCAGCGAGCACCAACCACGAGGACAGATCCAGTTGAAGGTAATAAGTCTATACAAAATATGGCTCACCCATACTAATCGTTGTATACAATTAAATATGTGGATGGATTTATTACCTGGAAAAGTGGGAGGAATATGGTTTGCATAGGGGAAAATTAGGTTTGCCGGCCGTAAGCAGGGGATGTAAGGCCTGTTGCAATGCATATGGACAGGAATGTAGTCTTTTGACTCTCTAAAAATATTATTGTTCTTCTGAGAAGGGACACATTTTTGTTCTTATTATTATAATAAGCGTGGCGCCTTTTCATGGCCTATTATTATCTGCACATAGCTCTCCTCACTGCTTGATCCTTAGCGACGAGCTGTCTACTTAATGAACACTAGAAAATTTTACTAAACTATAAGCAGTACTAAATAATTCAACCTATGCAGTTTCCTCCTTTGCTGTGGACTGTGGGGGTGGAAGATATATATCTGGCTTAGATCCTGATAATGCTAATCTTGGAGCAGCATCCTATTATGTTACAAAAGCACAAACCTGGGGTGTTAGCAACGTTGGGAGGTTCATGGATAGCTCAAATAGCTATTACACAATAATCTATAGCTCACGCCCTTTTCAGAACACTCAAGATTCAGAACTTTTTCAGACAGCAAGGATATCTCCATCTTCTTTAAGATACTATGGTCTTGGACTTGAGAATGGAAACTATACGGTCACACTTCAATTTGCAGACTTTGATTTTGAAGACTCACTATCTTGGAAGAGTCTAGGTAGAAGGGTTTTTGATATTTATCTGCAGGTAGCAGGTTACAATCATGCTCATCATCTACACCGCTGGAGTTTAGACTATGATCTTGTCATGAGCTTTTTCTGTTGGTATCGTTATAGGGTGAGCGTACGGAGCAAAACTTTGACATAAGGAAAGCAGCAGGCAGGAAATCTTACACTGTTGTAAAGAAGCAGTATATTGTTCCTGTCACTAGAAACTTCCTTGAGATTCATCTCTTCTGGGCTGGCAAGGGCACTTGTTGCGTCCCGAATCAAGGCTACTACGGTCCTGCAATATCAGCTTTGAGTGCAAATCTAAGTATTTCCTTTAGCTTCAAATCATGATTTTAATGCTATCTATAATAAGTGAAAATTCACAAATGCTTAACGTACATGCCAAATATCGGTTACGTCGATTTGTTGTTAGATAATATTTTCCACAAACGGGATTTTTTGACATGTTCCTCTTTTACAGCTGCACCGAAGAAGGGTAGTGAAATAGTTGTAATTGTTGGAGCCGTGGTTGGTGTAGCAGTTTTAGGACTAGTATTTGCTGGACTTTATGTGTGGAGGCACAAAAGAAGAAAAATATCATCGGAGCAGCAAGGTAGATGATATGCTATTTGCTAGGTTGACATTATTCTTAAACCCACCAAAGGTTACACTTACAAACTTATGTTCTGTGGTGTTTGCATGCAGAGCTACATTGCATTGTTGGAAGATCTAATGTGTTCAGTTATAGTTATGGTGAATTAAGCAACGCTGTTGAAAATTTTAGTTCCACTAACCTTCTTGGCGAAGGAGGATATGGGTCTGTTTATAAGGTTAGTTCATATGTAGTACACATGAATGTCAATTCTCTATGATTTTTTATACTTAGATAAGTTCAACTTCTTTTCCATTAAGGGGCCGTTTGGATCATTTCATTTGGAGGAATTGAATTTTACTTAATAAATTAGGCTATTTGGCTTGGAATTTGATATTCCACCACTTTCCAAAATCCATATATAAGCCTATCTCAAATTCATAGGGTTGAAGATGAAAATTGATTCTATAGATCACCATTCTATGATTCTACTTTGCAATTTATAATACACTCTTCAACTCGCTCCCCTACGATACAAATGCAACACATAAGTATCTCTCGTATAACCGACAATAATATACAAATATAATCCATAAACAACCATATTAGCTTAATTAATATATATATCTAAATCATGATTATTAAAATGAGTTCAATTCTAAGGATCTAAACGGGGCCTAAGTAAAATTGGCTAGGCATTTTCAGCTCAACTCTAGTTTGGTTAATATAAACATAATTTCCTTTTTTTCATTGATCACACTTCACCAATTCTCCTTCTAATACCAAATCAAAACATATAAATCATGAACATTCCCTACTATTTTCCTCGTTTTCATTTTCTAATTTTTGCGCATGATCAATAAAATCAAAGTGTGTAGTCTACTTCGTTTTCTTCATCACAAGATATATATTGTTTTATATCGTGGGGCTAAAACTCACCTTGGTAGTCTAGTTCATTTTCTCTATTACATGATGCTTTATAACATGGTTCCTAAACTCACCTTCATAAACAATACCACTTTTTGGTAGGGTAAATTAACTAATGGCAACATGGTGGCGGTGAAACAACTATCTGAAACATCTCGCCAAGGGAAGAAGCAATTTATAGCCGAAGTAGAAACTATTTCTCGGGTGCAACATCGTAATCTTGTGAAGTTGTATGGTTGTTGCCTTGAGGGCACCAAACCATTGTTGGTTTATGAGTACATGGAGAATGGAAGCCTTGATAAAGCATTGTTTGGTACCACAAATTTCATTCAATTTGATGTACATGTGATCTTGCCCTTGATTGTCATATAAATAAACCTTCATTGGCAGGAAGTCCAAGATTGAACCTAGATTGGTCAACACGCTATGAAATATACTTGGGCATTGCAAGAGGCCTTGCTTATCTCCATGAAGAGTCTAGCATCTGTGTCGTGCATAGGGACATAAAAACCAGCAATGTGTTACTTGATAGCAATCTCAAGCCTAAGATATCAGATTTTGGGCTCGCCAAGCTTTTTGATGACAAAAAGACACATGTTAGTACAAAAGTTGCTGGTACATTGTAAGCACATACCAATCTTGCCTTCTACCCTTTGTGTTTAGTCATACTTCACAAACTTGTTAGCTAATGGCCCTCTTTTTTCTCTCTGGTTCCATAAAGGGGCTATCTTGCACCTGAGTACGCCATGAGAGGTCATATGACTAAGAAAGTCGATGTCTTTGCTTTCGGTGTGGTCATGTTGGAGATTATAGCTGGAAGGCCAAACTATGATGACAAGCTTGTTGAAGACATGGCTTATCTTATAGAATGGGTAAGCTCACTAAAGTTTACGTGCAATCATTAGAATTTCAATCAAAACACGAAAGTTTTAACATCACTGCATTATGAAAAAAGATTCTACAAAATTAGTAAATATATAGAGAATTCTAGTTGTATTTAGGGGTGGATCGAACATGGAGGGAGGAGGCGTAGAGTGGACCCAAAGCAGGTGGTGATGGAAAAGAAAGAGGGGGCTTAGGAGAAGGAATGACCCTATGGCTGTTTCGTGCATCTACCCCTAGTTGTGATCTTCTAGGGTTTGTGTATAGTGCTTCTTCCAACTATATTTTCACATGCTCATATTGAGGGCATATTTAGTTTGCAAGGGAGTATATATGTAATTTGCCTGACCCGTGGATTCGTGCAAAAGGTGGTAGGTACATAAAACTGAGGGCATACTTAGTTGTAGTTTGATGAGATATTGAAATCTTTATCTTTATGTCTATATTCTCTACCTAATATTAAAGAGCGAAGATTTTCTTCCAACCTATTGTTTATTTCCAAAATGCCATTGCATCCTCCATGTTCCGTATTTGATCCGAACTCACAACCTGGTGGCACGGAATCTGACTTAAAAATAATTTGGGGCTTGTTGCAGCGGCGCACAGATATGTTTGCTAGTTGATCTATAAAGTGTAGTCACTTAATTTGGTTACGTGTACAGATAGTTGTGACTTTGTGAAATTAAATATAAATATGTATTTTTTTCTTTGAACGCAACAAACATTTGTGAGAAGTTATCCGACATGTTCAAGAGTTCCCTAAATTTTTCTCCTAAAAACTCCATGTAGGTCTGGAAACTTTACGAGGAAGATCATCCCCTCGACGTTGTGGATCCCAAGCTCACGGAATTCAACAGGGACGAGGTGCTCCGTGCCATTCGCGTTGGCCTCCTGTGCATCCAGAGCTCTCCCCGCCAGCGGCCGTCCATGTCCAGGGTGGTGTCCATGCTCGCAGGAGACAGCGAGGTAGGCGAGGCAGTGTCGAAGCCTAGCTACGTCACTGAGTGGCAGATGAACAGCAGAGGGCAATCGAGCTCGGAGCGCAGGGTGGAGGCCACCATGTCCGCGCCGCTGTTCCTGAGCTCCATCATCGATGAAGGCAGATGACATGCATGCAGCATGTTCTCGTTCTCCAAATAAATCAGCATGCATCCGTGAAGCTACAGATTGTTTCTTGGAAATGCATGCACGCTTTGAAAACGGTCCAATCATTTTGGAAGTGTGTACGATATTTATTTGCAAAATTTATGCGTTGGCTGCACATGCACACAGATAAATTTATTTGCAAAATTTATGCGTTAGCATACCTGAAAGCATGTCAAGTTTGAACGAGGTTCGCACTCACTTGTCTGCTCGCGACTCTCGCACTGCCTGTGGCTGATGCCTGATGGGCTTGGTTGCTGCTTCGATCCAGTGGTGAAGCTGGGATCGAGTTCTGTTCTTTTTTTTTTGACGGAATCGAATTATGTTCTTGAGCAACCATCAAACATCGCAGCTGAAAGGGCATTTGAATCAGGAACATGATAGAAGACCGAGTGCGCCATGGGCCAAATTAGTAACCGTGTGAGTTGGGCCATGGGCCAAATTATTGGTGTGTGTGTTTTATATTATCTTCTGTTTTTGCAAAAATAAATTCCGCCCAAAATATTTAGCAAAACTAGCAAAAATGGCGCTAGAAAAAGTACCGTTCGCTGATTTGTTGTGAGAGAAAAATACTGTACCATGGTTGATAAGTTCAAACGAACATAGCCTTTACCGCTGTTTCAAACGACGGTAGGATCCATGCCATGGCCCACCCACCCTTGGTGCTGTGCAGTGGATAATACTTACCGCGCTAGTTCAATGAACTGGCGATTTTATACTGCAGCCGATTGAATTGGTACGTGGTGGTTGGTAGTGTAATTTTTTTTTTAAAAAAATATCTGTTTCTTTTAATTTATTTTGGATTGGTCGAGTTTGAATTTAGGTTTACACATGATTTGTACTGGGTAGTAAATTTACAAAGTTTGTTTCGGCATATTGTCGCTTGAAATTATGAGGAAAACCAGTACATATGCATGAAACCTTGGTTAGAGAGGCTAGACCTGTCTTTAAGTAATGCCTGAGTACACATGTCATTGAAGGAATATTTGTACTAGACAAACATTTGGGAAGTAGTGCAAGTTACGAGAAAGGCGATTGATTCCATTGTATATATTGGAAAATGCCATTTTATGGGATTGAAAAAAGAACAACTGCACGGACTTCACAAGCCTCGACATTGAACTAATGTAATGGCTCCCTTGGTCATAGTGGCTAAACAAGTATTGGGATGGCCCTGTGTAGTAGTAGGATTTTACGTCTGAGTAGTAATTTGTGTATCACGTATAGTATATCAGAGGGTTAGCACTTAGCACACAAGATATAAGTTTATACTGATTTAGGTACAGGGTGGTACTCTACGTCGATATAAGTTTATACTAATTTAGGTAGAAGGTGGTACTCTACATCTAGTGTGTCCAAGTACGTACTGCAGTGTGTGCCGCTCAGCGGAAGAGACCAAGCGCTGCACTGAGAGGCCGAGCGCCGCAGACAGTAGACGACAGGAGGTCTAGTGCCAGGACAGGAGACACTACAAAAAGGGTAAATTGTCTGTTGAACATCCAAAGTGATGGTTCTTTACTGGCGGATACTCACTTTGAAGCATTTTGCCATAAGACACTCTGATTCGTTGAAATTAGGCCACATGACACCGCGGTCCGGTTTCAGCCGGTTGAGGAGAGAGAAAACTTCATTTTGAACATCCGGTGCCCCTGAACCATACTTGGGTCCGCCCCCAACCTAGTCTGGTTGGACCCATAAGAACCGGCCCCGACCCGGCCGTTAGGGTTAGGTCGCGCGCCGTCCCTAATCCCACACTCCATTGCTCGCTGCCCACTCAACTCCAGTGCTCGCCGCGCCGCCGTCCACCCTAGTGCCCGCCGCCGCTGACACCTCCAGCCTCGGCCGTCATCCGCCATGTGGGGCTGAGGATCTAGAGCACCCCCGCGACCCGAAGATGAAGTCCCCCAGCAGGAAGAACGCACAGTGCCCTGGTTCTCCGCCTAGGGTTCCTCAATTGAAATGGATTCCAAAAGAGTGAGCTTTTTTGAACCCGTACTCTTTGGATTTGTATGTCTGTGGATGCGTTAGAAAGGTTACGGTTTGAAATCGTTTAGTTTGGTTTTTTTCCTTTGTTTTGATTTAGGATGGATCCGATGGCCGCGTGTAGGTTGACGATTAGAGTACCTGCCTATGTAGAGTAAAGACCAGATGGGCTCGATGATTATTGTAACACCCCTAGTGTTACGAGCGTGCTTAGCACCGAGATTTAGGTCTGAGAAGGATTAGCCTAACAAGTTTCTGGGTTTTAAAAATTTATAATGCACATGAGGCGAAAAACAATTTCTAGGAACAAGGATCAAACATAACTTGTATTTAGTACTTAAATAAAAATTGAAGTAAAAGTTTAGTAGATGGAAATGCAACTTTAACTTTTGAAAAATAGATGTTAACTGGTGTTTTGGGAGCTAAAAAATCAAATTTGACGTTAAGATAAGCTCTTTTCGTTAAGTCGGCAAACACTTGAACTATTGTTAAAATACCATTTTTTGTGAATTATATTGAGCAAAATAGTTAAATGGTGCTTAAATATTTTGCTCCTGCGGGTTAGTATAAGGTATGGACTATTGCATGAAGTATTTGTTGGTTGAAGTTAACAAGGTTTAGATCTATTAAAAATTACGATAGAAGAGTTAATGGTTACTTAGCCCCAATTGAAATCCTTAACTTTTCTAAGTATGGAAAAGTAGTAAGACAATGCTATTTTGACATTTAATTTCCAACAAAAATATTTAAATACTAGCCGCATGTTTTGGTATTGTTGATTGCATCGAAGTGAGTACTTGAGCATGGCATAGATGGTTATTGTGTTGGGTGTCATGTTGCTCTCGTAAAAATTGCCCAAACCTCCTTAGAACGCGTTGTGAACCCTGATTCGGTGCTCGGTTCGCGAACCGGCGTTCAGCGTGACGAACTCATGTTGGCACCTCCCTATCTCCCTCTCTGGTCGCTCTCTGGACATGAGGTTTGCTTCGTTAGCTGGGTGTTAGTATCGACTTTAGGTTAGGGGAATTAGTTGAGCCTCGATCGTGATCATTAGCAGCTTTTGCTTCGCTTTAAAATGCGTGCACGTCACCAGTTGCTACCTCTCGGCCTGGGTTCACGATCACCGTGCGCGTGGGCGCTGCTGGCACCGGGCTTAGGCCGTGGCTGGGCTACTACCGCTGGCCAGGTCGCACGCCCAGGTGAGGCCGCACAATGCCTATGGCCTAGCGTTGGCCAGTCCTAGCTGACTACGGCTGGTCCCGCTGCTGCCATGCTCCGCGCTCGCCCGGCTGGCCGCTGGGCCGCGCCGTGGTTGCGGCTACATCGCTCGGTCAATGTGGCATCCACCTCACCCCTCGTATCACTTACCGCGTCGTGCCCTTGGCGTATGCCGCTGCCGCCATGTCTGGTCGATGGCCCGCTCACAGTGGCGATGGGATGCCTTCCTGCCTCACTTGCCCTCGCTAGTCAACGCCGGTGCGACCGGCTTGGGTTCGGTCACTCCACTTCAAGCGTGTCGCGCCAATCCCTCCACTGTCTCGCCACCTATGCGCATGTGCTCGTGTTGCAGCTATCGTTCGGAGCCGCCCGTCTTAATCCGCTCGTGCTCACTCGTGTGCTCCTCCACGGCTTGACCAGGGCTTGAGCTCTGCTTTTCCGCCCTCCAAATTGCCTAGCGCCAGCGGCTTTGCTGTTCAATTCCTCGCTCTAGTGGGTATCTTAGGAAGTAGGCTAGCCATCTCCTTCCCCTCATGCTCGGTCATGCCCTGCCAACCGGTAATTTGGTGTTGTGCTCATCGCCAGTCATGGGGCCGCCGAATCAGTGGGTTGGGAGGTAAGGCATGTAGGAGTGGTAGCAGTTCAATTGCTCGTAACCCTAAGCTCGCCTTGAATTCCTCTATTCGGTGCTCGCGCTATTTTGCCCAGGGTACTCGTCGTCGGTGGGGTGACACACCGGTGTCCATCGCAGAGCGCCACCACCCCACTCGGTCGCACGTGGCCAGACCGTTGCAGTGCTCCCCTGCTTCAACTGTTAGTAGGGCATGCACCATGATGAGCTACTGATGCTCCTCCGCCATCTCTACCTTCCGTAAGGGCGTAGGCTCGCCGGAATAGTCGTACCACCACCGCGGATAGCCGCTCACCGCTGCAGCCCACGATAGTGTGTCTTCGAGTCCCTAACCGCCACCCATCCTTGCACGTTTAGCCGTAGATGGTGGTCGGCCCCTTACTTCCATCGTAGAACGCCTAGGTTGCCCGGCATAACCGCCGTATGTCGTCGGCCGCCGCGCCGACACATGCTGGGATCCCTAGGGACCTCCCTGTGGTAAAGGCCAAAACATCCGAGGATTTGGTTGCAAAGTTACTGATGGTAGGAATAGTATGCATAGTAGTCATGTTATTATCTAAAAGCACGGGGGCTTTTCTGCAAAGCCACCATTGCGCGCGGGCACCCCGGCCTTGGGCTGTTGCTGGGCTGCCGCGACACGCGCGCAGCCGCGCCGCGCTGGGCTGCCAGACTTGAGAGGGTTGTTGCCGGCCTTTTCTTTTTCTAATGCATTTTCTAATTTAGTTTCTAAGGTAAACTTGTAAATTCAGTATAAAATTTTGTAGTTAACCAAAAATTATGAAACTAATTTTGTTAGATTCCTAAAATCATGATCTATCAGCTAGTATATATTGTTCATATAGTTTTATAATATTCTTAGGAGTTACATAATTAATTTGAGATACTTAATATTGTTAAAATATAAACTTGTAGGAATTGTTGTGATAAATTGGTGATAGTGTTGGCTCTGAAACTTTCACAGTAAATTTCTAACATTATTAGGTGTTCACTATAATTTTTGTAGCTCTATAATAATTAGTTTGCTAAGGTAGCTAAATGTGCCATAGTTCAAAAATATATGTTTAAGCAATAAAATGCCGAAACACCTTGAGATTTTAAAACTAGAACATTTTCTGGTAAACAACGCCTTATT